ACCAGTGTGAGGTCACTGAACAAGGAGCTGGGATGAGATGCACAGAGTTGGTCCTCCTGGACCACTGAGCTGTTACTAAGTCATACCTGCTAAGCACCCTCATTGGGATTTTATTTTATCTTATTAATTAATTAATTAATTTTTAATTGAAGTATAGTTGGTTTACAGTGTTGTGTTAATTTCTGATTTATAGCAAAGTGATTCAGTTACACATACACATATATATATCCTTTTTCATTATGGTTTATTATAAGATATTGAATATAGTTTCCTGTGCTATACAGTAGGACCTTGTTGTTTATCTATTTTATATATAGTAGTTTGTCCCTGTTAATCCCAAACTCCTACTAATTTATTCCTTCTTCCCTCTTCCCCTGTGGTAACCATAAGTTTGTTTTCTATGTCTGTGAATCTGTTTCTGTTTTGTAAGTAAGTTCATTTGAATCATATTCTAGATTCCACATATAGGTGATATCATATGATATTTGTCCTTCTCCGTCTGACTTTCTTCACTTAGTATGGTAATCTCTAGGTCCATCCAGGTTGCTGCAAGTGACATTACTGTATTCTTTTGTATGGCTGAGTAATATTCCATTGTTTATATATACCACATCTTCTTTATTCATTTGTTGATGAACACTTATGTTGCTTCCATGTCTTGCCTATTGTAAATAGTGCTGCAGTGAATATTGGGATACATATATCTTTTTGAATTATAATTTTGTCTGGAATATATGCCCAGGAGTGGGATTGCTGGATCATACGATAACTCTATTTTTAGTTTTTAAGGAACCTCCGTACTGTTTTCCATAGTGGAAACTTACATTCCCACCAACAGTGTAGGAGGGGCCCCTTTTCTCCACACCCTCTCCAGCATTTGTTATTTGTAGACTTTTTAATGATAGCCATTCTGACCAGTGTGGTGGTACCTCATTGTAGTTTTGATTTGCATTTCTCTAACAGTTAGCAATGTTGAGCATCTTTTCATGTGCCCACTGGCCATCTGTACCACATTGGGATTTTGAAACTAAGTTTTCCTCTTCTATTTTAAAAATTTTGTTTCAAAAGAGGACGTATTTGCTCTGAATCTATTCTTTTGAACTTGTGAATATTTTAATAGGCCTTGGTACTCTTCTCTGTGTATACTTATACCTACAGAAGGAGATTTCAGAGTGCTGTCAGAGGTGCCCAGGGCCCTATCCAGACCTTTGGGTTCTGGCCAGTGAAGACAAGGTGAAGATTACATAGTCCAGTGGTGGTACTTTGCTTGAAGAGTGGCAAGGCTGTTGATCGAGAGGGGGTAGTGGTGAAGCTATGGCGGTCTCTTGCCAGCTCTGTCCCTGCTGGGCCAACTGCCAGACTTCTTTCTGAGGCTGCTTGCTTGAGCTTATAGTCAGCTGGGGCCCTGCTCCACTTCCCTAACTGGCGTGACTACCTGGGTTTGGTGCTTCAGCAGTGCCTGGCACCACGTGTGCCAAGCGAGGGCTGGGATGGCATATTGGCTTGCTGCTTGCAGAACTTTTTCATAGAGTTGAGAGTTGACCTCTTCTGGAAGCTGGGACCTCGATCTCATCTCCAGGCTGGGCTCCTCTGGACCTGGGAGGTATTTGAGTCAGGTCAGAGTTCCAGTTTCCTGCAGAAACCAATGAGTGAGCCACTCCTGTAGGCATCTCCAAGTTAACTGGGGCACTGCTATGACGACCAGTATTGGAATTCTCTGTGCCAACGCCTGGGCTTAACTTGACGTGCCATCACTCAAGTGTGGGCTGGGGGTGTGGGCCACCATACTTGTTGCGTCTCGTGCTGCTCTGAGCCTAGCAGTGTTTTGAGGTCATTCTAGGGGATCCCACCATTTTTGGGCCACATGGCTTTTCCTTCTCTTGCGTTGGTTCATGGGCAAGATCATGCAGCCTTCCATGGCGCAGTGTATCTGATAAAAAGGCTTCAAATTTCCTGGTTCGCTGATGCTCTTCCTTCCCCCCTCCTTCAATGATCAGAACTGAAACAGTTTTTTTCTTTTTCCTTTAAAAATTTCCTGGTTCGTTTCAATGGGAATTTGGTAGGGAATGTTAAATGACTTGGTTTAAATCACTATTTGAGCCAGAAATCCAAAATGTCACTTTGTAGTGATTCTGGGTATAACATTGTGTGGCAACAATGCTGCCTTTTTGGACTGTGGAGAAAAAGTCTTTGTAAAAAATGATCATGATCTGGCAGCTGAGGCTCCAACAGCTCAGAATGCTCTGCCAGTTGGAATGGGCATCATCAGAAAATCACACCAGTCCCTGCCCCACCTCACACCAGTTAGAATGGGCATCGTCAGAAAATCTACAAACAACAAATGCTGGAGAGGGTGTGGAGAAAAGGGAACCCTCTTGCACTGTTGGTGGGAATGTAAATTGATACCGCCACTATGGAGAACAGTATGGAGGTTCCTTAAAAAACTGAAAATAGAACTAAAAACTAAAAATAGATTGTTGGCTGCCACATGGATCTTCTAGAAAGGTCCTTGAAGTCCACAGGAGTTCTGAAGCATAGATAAGGGAAAGTTGTGAAAATACTTTGGTTTTTCTTGTTTGTTTGTTTTGTTTTTTGCGGTATGCGGGCCTCTCACTGTTGTGGCCTCTCCCGTTGTAGAGCAAAGTCTCTGGACACGCAGGCTCAGCGGCCATGGCTCACGGGCCCAGCCGCTCCACGGCATGTGGGATCTTCCCGGACCGGGGCACGAACCCGTGTCCCCTGCATCGGCAGGCGGACTCTCAACCACTGCGCCACCAGGGAAGCCCCACTTTGTTTCTTTTGAAAATAAAGATGAGATAGCTGAAGGAAGGAAGACTCAATTGTTGTTACTCATTGCATAACGTTTCTGGATTTGTGACAGACTTGTTTGCTGTGAAACTCAGAAATGGTCATTTGAAGAACTGAAGTTTAATTTTCTCTAGAGCAGTCTTTTCTCAAAGTGTGGTCTACAGGCCTCCTGCCATGGAATTCTGGGCAGGGAGGGGCTTGTTAAAAATGCAGGGTCTCACACACCTATGGTCAACTAGTCTATGACAAAAGAGGCAAGGATATACAATGGGAAAAGACAGACTCTTCAATAAGTGGTGTTGGGAAAACTGGGCAGCTGCATGTAAAAGAATGAAATTAGAACACTCCCTAACACCATACACAAAAATAAACTGAAAATGGATTAGAGACCTAAATGTAAGACCGGTCGCTATAAAACTCTTAGAGGAAAATGTAGGAAGAACACTCTTTGACATTAATCAAAGCAAGATCTTTTTTGATCCACCTCCTAGAGTAATGGAAATAAAAACAAAAATAAACAAATGGGACCTAATAAAACTTAAAAGCTTTTGCACAGCAAAGGAAACCATAAACAAAATGAAAAGACAACCCTCAGAATAGGAGAAAATATTTGCAAACAAATCAACGGACAAAGGATTGATCTCCAAAATATATAAACAGCTCATGCAGCTCAATATTAAAAAAACAAACAACCCAATCCAAAAATGGGCAGAAGACCTAAACAGACATTTCTCCAAAGAAGACATACAGATGGCCAAGAAGCACATGAAAAGCTGCTCAACATCACTAATCATTAGAGAAATGCAAATCAAAACTACAATGAGGTACCACCTCACACCAGTTAGAATGGGCATCATCAGAAAATCTACAAACAACAAATGCTGGAAAGGGTGTGGAGAAAGGGGACCCTCTTGCACTGTTGGTGGGAATGTAAATTGATACAGCCACTATGGAGAACAGTATGGAGGTTCCTTAAAAAACTAAAAATAGAACTACCATATGACCCAGCAATCCCACTACTGGGCATATACCCAGAGAAAACTATAATTCAGAAAGACACATGCACTCCAATGTTCACTGCAGCACTATTTACAATAGCCATGTCATGGACGCAACCTAAATGCCCATCAACAGACAAATGGATAAAGAAGATGTGGCACATATATACGATGGAATATTACTCAGCCATAAAAAGGAATGAAATTGGGTCATTTGTAGAGACGTGGATGGATCTAGAGACTGTCATACAGAATGAAGTCAGAAAGAGAAAAATAAATATCATATATTAACGCATATATGTGGAACCTAGAAAAATGGTACAGATCAACTGGTTTGCAGGGCAGAAATAGAGATGCAGATGTAGAGAACAAACGTATGGACACCAAGGGGGAAAGCGGCGGGAGGTGGGGGTGGTGGTGTGATGAATTGGGAGATTGGGATTGATGTGTATATGTTGATGTGTATAAAATTGATGACTAATAAGAACCTGCTGTATAAAAAAATTAATAAAATTCAAAAAAAATGCAGGGTCTCACTCCAGACCTATGGAATTAGAAACTCTTGAGGTGAGACCAGGAAAATGGCATTTTAAGACAGCACATCCTCCCCCAACTCCCTGGTGGGTCTGTGCATGCCCAAGTTTGAGAACCACTGGTCTCAATCATTTGTTCTTGTTTTGGGGTGCTATTCTCTGCAAACTTTCTTTTGTTTTTTTTTAATAAATTTATTTATTTTTGGCTGTGTTGGGTCTTTGTTGCTGCACACAGCTTTCTCTAGTTGCGGAGAGCGGGGGCTACTCTTCACTGTGGTGTGCGGCCTTCTCTTGTTGCACAGCATGGGCTCTAGGGCACATGGGCTTCAGTAGTTGCAGTGCACAGGCTCAGTAGTTGTGGCACACGGGCTTAGTTGCTCTGTGGCATGTGGGATCTTCCCAGACCAGGGCTCAAACCTGTGTCTCCTGCATTGGCAGGTGGATTCTTAACCACTGTGCTACCAGGGAAGCCCCTCATTTGTTTTTTTTCTTTGGTTTTTTCTTAAGTTGCCCTCTGATATAAAAATTGGTAAAATTTGTCCCCTTGTGATCATTCATTTCTGTCTGTTTTGTTTTAAACTCCAGGACAATAATTACTCGATTTCATGAGTTGCTTTTTATTTCTGAATGTCTGATTTTGAACTTTTCATTTTTCCCACAGAGCCGAGAAAACAGAAGTCCTCAGTGAAGATCTGTTACAGGTAACAAAAGAAAGACTTTTAAAAGTGCTCTGTTTAAACAACAACAGCAACAAAAACCCATAGGAGGAACTGAAGCTTATGGTTCTTTGCTTTTTTTTTGGGTTTTGCCTGAAACAGAATTAGTGTGATTAGCATGGTTTTGAGCAAGAAAGAAGAGCAGTTGAGTTGTGCGGTGATCAAAAGGGGATCTGAAACTTGGGTGTCATGTTATGAAGTTCAGATGGAGCTAGTCCTGCGTTCAAGTGCCAGGTGTTGGGGTGAGCACAGGGGAGGAGCCTGGCTGGCCCGGCCGGCCCACTGGCACTGTGGCCTGGTCATGCGTCCTGGGCAGGCTGCTGCGCTGGCGACCTTGATGGGACAGGCTCTGCCAGCTGCGGCAGTGGCCCCACTGGTTCCAACCTAGATTTCAGGTTTTTTGCTCCCTTTTATGCTTCTTCCCTAAAAGTGACCTAAGTTGGGTCCTGAAGGACTCAGAGTCTCAGTGACAGTGACCAGATCTCAGAACCCCCTAGGGGCCCTAGTGTGGCCTCACACCAATGGGCCAGACTTTCCTTTCCATAGGGAGGGGCGTTTCCTGCTGGGGACCTTAGCCAGGGCCACTCACGCCATTTCTCAACAGGTTTCCCTAACTTTGGGGCTGGGAGTTTCTCCCAGGAGGGCCTGGACCCTTTATACACATCACTTTAGCCAACCCCACTCCGTCCCCACCCACACCGAATACTTTGTGAAGGACAGGACCCCTTCTGCACCTTCTCCTTGCCTCTCATTTCCATCACCTGCCTCTGGTGCACTCCAGCGAGCCCCTGGAGACCAGAGATCTGCTCCCAGGTGGCTTTCTGTCTCTTCCCATGCAGAGAAGGAGCTGCATAATTTTAAAAAAAGCTATTTCTGCCCCACCATGCCAAAACAGCCTTCTAAATTATGGCAGTCTTTTGCAGGTAGAAGATTTTAAGAGCACTTTTTTTTTCTACTTTTGAGGACTAGAAGTTTTTATCAAGGATGAGACGGGTTTTTTCAAGAAAAGATTTATTAAGGAATCATAATCTTTAAAAAAATTTTTTATTAAGGCATAGTTGATATACAATATTATAGTTTAAGAATCAGATTCTTAACACTATTTCCTCACTGGTTTTTATCAGATATTTCAAATCCATTTTCAGAATTTTAGAAATATTGTTTGGTTACACTAGGTTTTCCTGTCAGCATTCTCCCACCTACATCCCACGTCAGTAATATACGTCATTCCATTTCATCCTTTAAGCCCTGCAAGGAGGCCAGAGGCCTTGCAGGCAGGTGGAGGATGGCAGAGATCGCACGGGACTCAGACAGTGACTGTCTGTGCTTGTCCCTTTGCCCAAACGTCCGCTGGGGCCTGAGGAGTTTGCTAGTTTCTAGGAACTCCCTTTTTTTAAAAAATTTATTTTATTGAAGTATAGTTGATTTACAATGCTGTGTTAATTTCTGCTGTACAACAAAGTGATTCAGTTATACACATATGTACATTCTTTTTCATATTCTTTTCCATTATGGTTTGTCACAGGATATAGGAACTCCTTATTTTATAACACAGATACTCCACGTCTGCGGCAATTGTTTTCCTGCTCTGATTTCTGTTTGGTTTTTTTTTTAACCATAAAGGAGGCATGTAATGGTTCAAAGTGCTGAGTGCTGGGTCTGGTGACCAGCCACCTGGATTCCCATCCCAGGTCTGCCCCTGACTAGCTCGGTGGCCTCGGGAATTCACTTAACCTCCCTCTGCCTCAGTTTCCACTTCTCTAAAAGGAGGGTAATCACTGTATCCCCGCATGGGTTTGTTAGGAGGGATTCATGGGTTAAACATGGTTAGCACTGGGAGTGGGGCCCGTCACGTAGTGAGGGCTAAATATTATATTAGTGATTTGTTGGTATGACTACCCCTGTCACAAGCCACAGAGCTTTTTTTTTTTTTTTTTTTTTTGCGGTACGCGGGCCCCTCACCGCTGTGGCCTCTCCCGTTGCGGAGCACAGGCTCCGGACGCGCAGGCTCAGCGGCCGTGGCCCACGGGCCCAGCTGCTCCGTGGCATGTGGGATCCTCCCGGACCGGGGCACAAACCCGCGTCCCCTGCATCGGCAGGCAGACTCTCAATCACTGCGCCGCCAGGGAAGCCCCCACAGAGATTACTTTGTTTCTGATGTGAGACTTCCCTTAATTTGCTCTTTCTCCTGCCTCTTTTCTTAGATCTCTGGTAGAGCAGTTCAAGAGGCTGCCTTTTTATCTTGTTTGTATGGAGTTTACCCAGGAGGCTGTGAATCCCAGGAGGGTGGGAACCACAATTTACTTACTGTTGTTTTTCTAATACCTTGTACGGGATATATACAATATATATACTTGTTCTTTCAACAAATATTACCTTCCATTTGGGCCAGGCAGTGATCTAGGCACTTGGGATAAATCTGTGAACAAAACAGACCAAGGCCCCATCCCTTCGGACTTTACATTCTAGTGGAAATTGGAATCAAGTGAAATGGAGTTTTGGGGGTTTTCTCCCCTCCCCCCCGCTTTTGTGGCAAATGAAGAATGTGTATTAGTTTTCCAATGTCTTAGAATCGGGTCATTATAAGATTTGGGGCAAGTAATGTGGCATCTGGCCCTAAATAAATGTGGCTGCAGATCGGGGTCCTGGGATGGGGCCTTGGTTGGATCTGAAGAAGGGCTGCTTGAGAAAGAGGCACAAAGCCATCTCATTGGGTAAAATGTTTGGGGGTAAAAATGTATTCTGCTTTGAACTTGTTGATTTTTCTTTAAAATAGAAAGCATCCCTAAGGGCCTGCCCTCATTCTTAATGAGTCATCAGAATACACATTTTTGGCATTCCTTCCTGTAAAAAGCAGCTCTCTTTGCCATAAACAGCCATATCCCAGCAATAATATTTTGAGAAGCTAATCGTGATGTGTGGGCCCCCTAAGTCAGTGTTTCTTACTGCTGGCTGTCCATTCTGCTTTAGAGGTTTATTATTAAAAAAAAAAAAAAAAAAAAAAAAAAAAAACCACCCCAAGCCCAATAAGGAATAATTTTGAAAACATTGATCTTGAGTTTTAGTCGTGGACCATTTTTTTTGATTCTGTCTGTTGTACCGTGTGTGGAGGGCTCCACTGCCATGTGCAGGAGAGAGCTGAATGTCCCTGTGGCTTTCCCACTTGGCCTTGGGCCTGAGGCTGGGCTTAGGCTGTTCATCTGCAGTTCTGCTGGTTGGACCTGGGACTTTGCTGGTGCTGTAGTGTGTGAGTTTGTCACCACTTATCTGATAGCACGTTCTAGTCAGGACTGTCCCCTACCCCTGGACATAAATTCAGCCTTTAAGGGATCTGAAAACTCAGTGTTTCTCAACTAGGGGTGATTTTGCCCTCTGGGGGGATATTTGACAATGTTTGGGGGCAGTCTTGGTTGTCACGAAGAGGGGAGTTGGGTGCTACTGGCATCTAGTGGGTGGAGACCAGAAATGATGGTAAACCTACTGATGATGCACGGGACAGCTGCCCACAGCCCAGAATTCTCCAGCCCACTTATCAATAGTGAGAAGCCCTGGTGTAGCTGCATGGGAACCATTTCCATTTCCATCCAAGTGAAAAATTCAACGGCAGGATGCTTTTTCCTGCCTACATGCAAACACCGCAGGAGGAAGAGGCTGAGTTGGTCTTGAGCCTTGCCAACGGCTCGTCTGTCTTTGTGTTGTCAGATTGAGCGGCGCTTGGACACAGTGCGCTCCATGTGTCACCATTCCCACAAGCGCCTGGTGGCCTGCTTCCAGGGGCAGCATGGCACCGATGCCGAGAGGAGACACGTGAGTACCGGGTGGACTTGGAGCCGTGGTTCTCGCCTCGTCTCTGAGAGGCTCTTCTCCCTCTGTCAGTCGATTTTTCCCAAGCAGCGTCAGCAGATTTGCCTGCAGACCTGTACCTTGTATCGCCATTCACGTTCACGACACCGGCCTTATCATAGCATTCTTTTGTGCTTAAGACATCCCTGAGCTGAAAGCCATATTCACACTGAATTCTCTCCAGGTGCTTTTAGAGATGTGTCATCATAAGAGAATGGACACATCAGTTAGGAATCCTCTGATGGCAGAAAGCTGCAAGCCTCTCTTAAAGTGACTGAGAAAGTAGAGTTTATTGGCGTACTAACTGAAAAGTCCAGTAGTCAGGATGGACTCCAGGTAAGGCTTGGGCTAGGCTTTCGGTGATGTAAACCAGGACCCCAGTTTCTTTCCTTCTCTCCTTCTCTCCCCTCGGCCTTCTTCAGTGTCTGCCTTATCCCTCGTGGTTGCAAGCTGGCTACCAGCGGCTCCCATGGGCTACCTACTTCCTTGTGCACGTCCAGCAGGAATAGAGAGCATCTCTTCCAGTAGTTTTTCTTAATGGAGTGAGAAGACTTCTTTTTTCCATACGTTTGGCAGGTAGAAATCCCTTCCCATTGCATTGATCTGTGTTGAGTCACATTCTCCATTACTGAACAGACTCCTCCCACAACCCACAACCAGTTACTGCGGGGAGGGATGAGGTTGGGCGAGGAGACAGGACGTGCTGGTTGGCATAAGCTAATCACAGCTCACCCCAGAGCATGGGCTGTGGTCCTACCTCCAGCTCATAGGCTCCATTGAGACCAGGATAGGTCCTTAGGAGGACTCAGGAAGGATGGGCTCTAGGAAACAATCAAATGTCTACTCCAGGGTACGTTCAGAGCGTCCAGGTCCCCGTGTCCCACCAGCAGAGCACAGCAGCTTTGTTCGTCAGGCAGTTCCGTCCTTAGTTTTATGAGTTCCCAGCTTACGAGCATACCCTGACCCCCATATAACATTAAGGTGGGAGTTTCCATGGCACACAGGGAAGCTATGATTTCCCATATATATATTTTCTTAAATTTCTTTATTTTTGGCTGCGTTGGGTCTTCGTTGCTGCACGCAGGCTTTCTCTAGTTGCGGTGAGCAGGGGCTACTCTTCGTTGCGGTGCATGGGCGTCTCATTGCAGTGGCTTCACTTGTTGCGGAGCACGGGCTCTAGGCACGTGGGCTTCAGTAGTTGTGGCACACGGGCTCAGTAGTTGTGGCTCACGGACTCTAGAGCGCGGGCTCAGTAGTTGCGGCACACAGGTTTAGTTGCTCCGCGGCATGTGGGATCTTCCCGGACCAGGGCTTGAACCCATGTCCTCTGCATTGGCAGGCAGATTCTTAACCACTGCACCACCAGGGAAGCCCATCCCATATTGTTTTATTTGCCACTAGATGTCTCAAAAGGAAGAACTGGTGTGCAGACGATCTGTGTCACCCTCCTTTTATGTTTCCTACACACATTTCTGGCCAACTTGACAACAGGGTTACTCCTCTCTTGCACAGCACATAGTTTCCGCAGTGACGTATATCAAAGGAGCAGAAGTCTGCATGCACCTCCGATTCCAGGAATGCTTGCTGCAGCTCCCATCCATCAGGACCAGGCCCAATCCACCGGTCCTGCCCCCTCTGCCCCTTTGCATTCTCCTGCCATGGCTTCTGCTCTGCCTGCCCTTTTAATATTGTTTCCGAAGCTTCTGCCCTTCATCTCCTTATTCTCGCCATCACATTCCTTGGGCCGCCTCCTGTCTTCTCATGGCGCCTAACTAATGTGTTTATTCAGACACTTGTAAACCATTTTCAGCGACGCAAAACACTTCCTCCCGTAGTTGTCTATTTTAGCACGCACACCCGGTTCTTCTGTGCTGACTCTTGGATTCTATCCACCCTAGTATGCAAGTTAGGTTATCTTTTTTTATGAGTGAAGGGCATGTGTTTGTTTTGTTTTTTAATATATTTATATATTTATTTATTTGGCTGCGTCGGGTCTTCGTTGCTGCACGGGGGCACTCTCTAGTTGCAGCGAGCGGGGGCAACTCTTCGTTGTGGTGCGTGGGCTTATTGTGGTGGCTTCTCTTGTTGCGGAGCACGGGCTCTAGGCGCGCGGGCTTCAGTAGTTGTGGCACGCAGGCTCAGTAGTTGTGGCTCGTGGGCTGTAGAGTGCAGGCTCAATAGTTGTGGCTCACGGGCTTAGTTGCTCTGCACCATGTGGGGTCTTCCCGGACCAGGGCTCGAACCCGTGTCCCCTGCATTGGCAGGCAGATTCTTAAGCACTGAGCCACCAGGGAAGCCCTCCCTTTTGTCTTATCCTCAACCTCCCATAGCTGCTTGATTAGCAAGTCCTGTGATTCTCTTTGTGACTGTTTCTTGAATTTCTCACCTCTGCTCCATCTTTACCACCTTCGCCTTAATGCAAGACCTGAATACCTCTCATTATCTGGACTGTTGCAGTCACCTCTTGAGCTACGTTTCCTGCCTCTGATTTCCTTTTTTTCCAGCCTTTCTTCAACCTGATCACCAGAGATGTTTTCCTGAAATACAAATTGATCTTGTCATCCTTCTGCCTAAAAAAAAAAAATCTTAAGCTTAGTTGTTCTCAACAGGGACCAGAATTACACTCCTGGGGATATTTGGAAATGTGTGGAGACTTTTTTGGTTGCCATAAGGTCTGAGGGACACTACTGGCATTTGGAGGGTGGGGACCAAGATGGCTGGAGGGATAGTTCCACATAAGGAAGCATCCCATAATACCACTGATGCTCTGGCAGGGACGATGGCTAGTTCCCATTGCCTGGGTTAAAATCGAAGCTCTTTTTTTTGTTTGTTTGTTTTTTAATTGAAATATAGTGGACTCATACTATATTAGTTTCAGGTGTACAACATCATGATTCAGTATTTTTATAGATTACACTCCATTTAAAGTTATTGTAAAGTATTGGCCATATTCTCTGTGCTGTACAAAATATCCTAAAGTCCAAGCGCTTTAGATGACTTCAGCCTTTCATAATCTCATCACATTTCCCTTATCCGTCTCAGTATCTCCCGCTTCCTCCCATTCATGCTGTAGGCCATCGTCATTCACACAGATTGTCTTGTTGTTCCTTTGGTCTGCTTTGAAGCACAGCCCAGGTGTCACATAAATTCATTAAAAACAAACAAATTAAGTATTTATCAAACACCTACTATGTACAAGTGCTGGAGCTATAAAATAAATTAGATGTAGTGTCTCCCTTAAAAAGTGCTCATAGCCTGGTGGGGGAGGCTTCCTCCACAAATGGATAATTATAAAAACAACATACTAAACAAAATATGCACAGGGTATTATGGGAGGACCAAGAATGGGCACCAGAGGAGGAGAGGGGTAGTCAAGGGAGGCTTCCTGGTGAAGGTGGTGGCCTAGCTGTAAAGGAGGAAAATGAGTGGCAGGTGATGGGCCTATTCCAGGCAACAGGGGCAAAGGTGCCTCTCCCTCATTTCTAAAACCTAATGCCTTAGGCTTCCTTTTCCAGCCTCGAACCAAAGTGCCCAAGACAGGGCTCAGAGGTTGTCTACGCTCTGCACGTGGGACGAAGAGTCGCCATGGAATAGATGATAGGTGACCACGGGAGGTCGGCAGTCTCTCGCGCTCTAGAAAGTACAGGAGGAGCCTTGCAAAGGCCCCACCAGAAGCTCCCATGCGTGTGAAGAGGCAAGAATTGGAGGGAAGAGAGACAGGGCAGGTGGCCTTCTCAGCCCAAACTGTTGACATGGCATAGCTTATGTCGTGGTTCATATTAGACCTGGAATTGTCTCTTTTCGTGCAGCTGGCATGCCTTTTATAAATTAGGAAGCCCTCAGCCCTCTCCATGGAGGAGTTTGATGTTGGTAGACAGCATGTTCATTAATCAGCTCAAATGTTAAATGAGCAGAATGTCCTTGTTTCTGTACATGGGGAACCAGGATTGATGATGCTTTGGAGTCAGGGCATGGAAACCACAGGTTAGTTACAACTGGGCACTTGAATGATACTTGTCAAAGTAAACTCCTCTCTTTATGATTTTTTTTGGCCATAGAGCTCCAGAGTTGCACAAAGTATATTTCTGTTGATTACTGCACTTATCCTACATTAAATTCCCTTAGAAAGGCAGCATAAGTAAAAGGATGAATTATCCTCTATTCTGATCAAAGCGCACTGCCCATTTTCTCACATCTTCCTGGTCTATTAATGTGGAAGCTGGGAACGTCTCCTTGTGGGGCAGATGAAGCCTGTTATTTATTTATTTGAACATAACCTGAGGGGGAGGAGAGATGGGTAAATATGTTTGTTCATTATTTATTTTTAAGTTTCTGTGTACCATTTTGAATGGGCTGTCCAGCTACATGGGCAAAATCCATATGCAAAAGAACGTGACATGAGGTCTGTCCCAGCCCTGTTACCCGGGCACCCAGTTCCCCTCTCCAGGACCACCAGTAGTAGCAGTTTCTTATACAGCCTTCCAGAGATACTTTAGAAGTGTAACAGATGGAGCCCTTTGAAGGCAGGAAAGGCAGGTGACATGCCCGAGGTCAAGGCAGAGCAATGCCACGGCAAGGTGGACCCCAGGTCTTTGACATCAGTTCCCTTTCTACTGGGAAGGCAAAATTACATGGGGTACCGCAGCAGTGAAAGCATTTTTCGTTAGCAGATCGTGGTGTTATAACCAACCCACATGCTACTTTCCAGGCCTCTTCTGCCTATATCCTGAGATAAGCCATTAGCTAGTCACGGACAGACTCTGAACCGGGGCTTGGGCTTTCAGCACCGAGGTCTAGCTCTGCACCCTCACCGGGGCGCCTGGCCAGGCCATGTAATCCCCCTGGGCTTCACATTCCCCAGCTGCACAATGAGAACATGAATCAGATGATCCTTACGGTCATTTCAGGCTGAAAAACAAATCTCTGATAGGAAAGTGAGTGACTTGGTGCCTAAAATTTTTTAATTTTTTGGATATTTAGCTAGATATTTTCAGATCTTTAACTGAATCTAAATCTTTATGATTCCAGCCAATTTAAGAGCCAGTTTAAGAATGAGTATTCTAGCGAAAGCTTTTAAAATTGAGCACTCCATTGCATTTGTCATGATAATCAGAGGGTGCGGTGTATGCCTTACGTCCCCAGCGCCTGGGTCATAGTATGCCCTTGATTATAGTAATTATAGTAATAGCAACGACAACAGTAATAATAGCAGCTAACATTTACTGAGTACTTATCGTGTACTCAGTAAATGTTACGTGATACATTTACTTGGGGTACTTGACCTTGAATATCTCCTTTAGTCAACGGACAGCCCTAGGACCCTTGCACTGTTATCCCTAATTTCCAGGCATGAGGAAACTGACACAGAGCTTAAGTCACACAACTCATACCTTTGAGACCAGAACCTGAACCCAGACAGGATATCTCTTACCTGTGCAGTTTACCTGGAGGAGAAACCAGTGACTGAAGATCTGAAGTAGGTAATTGAGAATGGGTGTCAATTATAATGAAAAAAAAAATGCATTGCCTTCTGCCTTCCAGAAAAAACTCCCTGTGACAGCTCTCGCTCAGAATATGCAAGAAGCATCAACTCAGCTAGAAGACTCTCTCCTGGGGTAAGAGTTGGGCTATTTCAGAAAGAGAGCCATGCACCCTGTGGGTTGGTAGAGGTGGATGGCTGGGTGGTGTACATGGCAGCCACATGTGTGACCAGAGGCTGAGGCCCCATGGGAGGCCACTGGGATGCTAGAGAATCATCCTTTTAGTAGAAGCAAGGATAGATGATACAAAGGGCCAATAACAAAAGTAATTGATAAGGTCGATTATTTAATCTGCTGAGCTTGGATGTAAAGAACTCAGTCCCTTCTGTGGTCCAGGTGTTGACTCAGATTTATAAGCCCTGACCAGCCCCATTTAGTCCTTAAAAGTCACTTCTTTTAAAGATGATCACTGTAATGTCAGTGGAGGTTGTCTCAAAATAGTGCCTTTTCTGAATTATGTGGATTTTTTTTTTTACAAGGAGCATGTATGACATAAATAAGTTTAAAATCTAATAATAAAGCTGTTTTCATTGTAAGAGGGAAGGTTGACCTTTCTTTCTACTTGCTTCTCTACAAGGCCAGTGTCCTTTGATCCTGTCTGCTCTCTCCTGCTGTAACGTGGGCCCTCCTTTCCCAGCTGGATATGGCCTTTGGACTTTTCAGCCCATTTCCCAGGGTCTGCCATGCTCCACGACCTACAATGCTCTGTCGTTCTTTGAAGGACACTGCCTAGGCCGGACTTACTAGCAGACAGAAAACAGTATAGTATAATAAACGTTACATATGATTTAAAAGATTTTCAGCGTACTTTTGAGAATACTTGCTTTTCACCTGACCAGAGGACCTAATCTTTCAGTGAGTTCTCACCTCACTGTTCACACACATCCGCATGTGTACACACAAATTATACCTGAGATAGTCTTGTGCATTTTATTTTATTATTATTTTTTTTTTTGGTACGCGGGCCTCTCACTGTTGTGGCCTCTCCAGTTGCGGAGCACAGGCTCCGGATGCGCAGGCTCAGCGGCCATGGCTCACGGGCCTAGTTGCTCCACGGCACGTGGGATCTTCCTGGACCAGGGCTCGAGCCTGTGTCTCCTGCATTGGCAGGCGGATTCTTAACCACTGCACCACCAGGGAAGCCAGTGATAGCCGTTCTTGATGGGGCGGTAATAGGTGAAGCAAAGTAGAGTGTTTTTTTGTGTGTTTTTTGCGGTACCCGGGCCTCTCACTGTTGTGGCCTCTCCCGTTGCGGAGCACAGGCTCCGGACGCACAGGCTCAGCAGTCATGGCTCACGGGCCCAGCCACTCCGCGGCATGTGGGATCTTCCCGGACCGGGGCACGAACCCGTGTCCCCTGCATCGGCAGGCGGACTCTCAACCACTGTGCCACCAGGGAAGCCCAGTCTTGTTCATTTTAAAGCACAAGTCTGTGGACTCACGCCCTAAGTTTATAGTACTTTCAGGTCTCTATTGTATAGCGCCCTAATGCGTTCCCATCGTATGGAGAGCAGAGCTGGCTCAGTGTGGGAATCTGGTGCCAGATTTAATGGACGTATGTTTGTTGTTGGGCATCTTGTTTTTAAAGGAAGATGCTGGAGACGTGTGGAGATGCTGAGAATCAGCTGGCTCTGGAACTCTCTCAGCATGAAGTCTTTGTCGAGAAGGAGATCGTGGACCCTCTGTACGGCATAGCAGAGGTGGGTGCTTTGGCGGGGGATGGGTGGGGAATGGTTCACTTGTGTCTGAAACTTTAACAATAATCAGTGGCTTTGGCATACACTTCTTTTTGGAAATAAGGAGAGTAAGTTGAGGGTACAAAATCCTTTGCCTAAGAAAAAAAAGAAAATGGTTAATAAAGATTGCACTTTCAGAGGTTAAACTGAAAACCCCGAAGCTCGTCCCATTTCATATGTGGTGTGTTCTTCTGTCCAGGTAGAGATTCCTAACATCCAGAAACAGAGGAAGCAGCTCGCCAGATTGGTTTTAGACTGGGACTCGGTCAGAGCCAGGTAAGATAAAGCTGTGAAAAATAACCAATAATGCGGTTTTCTGTCACATCCCCAGCAACCATCCCCCTCCTCAACACGGATAAAGACCACCGGGTGCACAAAACAGACGTCATCACAGATTCACACACTTGACTCACAGACTGAGTCACAGCCTACTTACACCTGCTTTCAGGCCTCATTCTCCCAAGCATGGCAGCGGGATGATGTTAGAACACCCTGTTCTTAGTCAACCAACAGTGAAAGGAGACAGGGAAAAAAAAAAAATAAGTGTATTCTGGGGAGAAGAAACGGTGGCAGACAGTTCTAAGAGCGTTGTCCTTGGAGTAGTGGAGTTTAGGAATAAATAGATCTGTGATCTCAGCAGCTGCTAAGCGTCCCACTGTGTCAAAAAACACCTGTGTGGTTAGGATCGTTTTTCACAATCAAGAAATGCTGTGCTCAACAGGGAGGAACTAAGTAAGACCTAGTAGCCATCCCAGAGGGCTGATATCAGATGTCTGTAGTGCTCCGCGGCTGGGCTCCAGCCTCAGCTCCATCCGTGAGGGCATTTGTATCAATGACTCATATGAGAGGAGTAGGGAGGTAGCTGCCATGGGCCCCATCCTTTCTCATACCTTATACAAGGGTTGACAGACTTGTTCTGTAAAGGGCCAGGTACTAAATATTTTCAGCTTTGCAACCCAGATGCCCCCTGTTCCAACTACTCAGCTCTGCTGTTGTAGCATAATAGTAGCCCTGGGCAATACATAAATGAATGAGCAAGTCTGTGTTCGAATAAAACTTTATTTACAAAAGCAAGTGGCTTTGCTGAGCCCTGCTTCGTTAACTCTTTTAATCCTCATTGCACTCTTGTGAAGTAGACATGATTATTTATGTTTGGCAAATAAATGGAGATACAGAGATCATTTACTAACTTTCTACGTGTCAGGTGCTTTTTTTTGGCTGCGTTGGGTCTTCGTTGCTGCGCGTGGGATCTCTCTAATTGCAGTGAGCGGGGGCTACTCTTGGTTGTGGTGCTTGGGCTTCTCATTGCGGTGGCTTCTCTTGTTGCGGAGCACAGGCTCAGTAGTTGTGGCGCACAGGCTTAGTTGCTCTGTGGCATGTGGGATCTTCCCGGACCAGGGCTTGAACCCGTGTCCCCTGCATTGGCAGGCAGATTCTTAACCACTGCACCACAAGGGAAGCCCCGTATCAGATGCTTTTATTGCAGATTTCCTTGTTTCTAAAATGTCGCTGAGTGTCAGATGCACCAGTGATTTAATATCCGATTTTGGGGGGAAAATGAAATAGAAACACCACTTTATTAAGTGTACAAATCAATTGGTAAGACATGTCCTGACTTAAGAAAAGTTGAGATGATAAGAGGGACATCTAGGAATTAGCACATGGTGAACACGATCATTGCCACCACTTACTGGACACTTGCCACGTGCCAGATATCAGACTATGTATGTGATATGTCAGCTCTTTCGATTCTCCCAGCAATCTCTATTCATTTGTCCACTTGTGTTTTCAGCAGACATTGAGTAGGTGCTTGCTGTGGGTCAGGCTCCGTGTTGGACACTAAGTGCAGAGGCCCTTCAGTGAGAGTTGGAGGGGACAGAGGTTAGGAGGTTACGTGACACCCCCTACTTTGAGAGGAGACTTGTTGTACAGACACTGGAGGCACCTGCACATGCCGTGTCTGTGACTTGCTTTGCGTCTTAGAGATAATAAACGGCAGGGCTAGGATTCTGAACGCAGAGTCTGCCGTCTCCTTGTCACACGCACACGTGTGATTAGAGCCCTGTGGCCAGAACCAGGATCAGGGAGTGCAGGCCCCCCTGTGGTAGATTTTTGCTGAAGATAAGGAAAAATGTTCTAACAGTTAATTAAACGAGGCCGTGAGTGCGCTCTTGCTGGAGTTGGTTGAGCGATATCATAGATGCCAGGAATCTTACATCTGCAGCACATGTATCCCGGAGGAGATTTCAGCACTGATTCTTGGTCCTGCATTCATGGTCCTGTTCACTTAACGAATCAAAGTAGGTATTAGAGAAACTGAAACAGATCAATATTTCTTCTTTATTTGACTTATTCCTGTGGCTTTTCCCTGGAGGAAAATGGTGATAGCTAACATTAGTGGGAATCGATCATATTCACACGCAGGCATATATATATTTATTCTCTCTTCTGCTGCTCATGACAGTTCTGCCGGGCAGACGGTATTTGTTTCCTTAGTTTGACAGATGAGACAACCTGAGGCACAGAGAGGTGAGGCCGTTGCCAAAGGTCACACGGCCAGTGAAGGTAGAACCGAGCTTCAGGCTTCAGCCTGTCAGACTCCGAAGTCCATGCTCTTTCCGTTGCCAGCTTCAGCAGATTTACTGAAGCCTTGCTGTGGCGAAGTGCATCACAACAGCAATGTGAAAGAGGGCAGGGCAGAGCATTCTGGGGGCAATGCAGTCATCTGGGAAGCTTGATAAGTTGCTAACATGGGCTTTCATGCTGCATCGATGTCATACCCATGTTTAAATTTAAAGTGCTAGAGAGTGCGTTACTTAACCTCGACTCTTAGCTTGTTGAGGACGGTAACCAGGACCCGGTATCCACTCCTGTTGCCTGTGCCTGCTGACCTGTAGCCACCATGCATAAGTGCATCTCCATCCATGTTGGCCAGGCTGGTGTCCAGATCGGCAGTGCCTGCTGGGAGCTCTACTACCTGGAACATGGCATCCAGCCCGATGGCCAGATGCCAAGTGACAAGACTCCTGGGGGAGGAGATGACTCCTTCAACACTTTCTTCAGTGAGACAGGCGCTGGCAAGCATGTGCCCAGGGCATTGTTTGTGGACCTGGAACCCACGGTCAATGATGAAGTTCACACTGGCACCTGTCGCCAGCTCTTCCACCCTGAGCAGCTCATCACAGGCAAGGAAGATGCTGCCAGTAACTATGCCCGAGGTCACTACACCATTGGCAAGGAGATCATTGACCCCATCTTGGACCCAATTCGGAAACTAGCTGACCAGTGCACAGGTCTTCAGGGCTTCTTGGTTTTCCACAGCTTTGGTGGGGGAACTGGTTCTGGGTTCACCTCCCTGCTGATGGAGCAACTCTCTGTCGATTATGGCAAGAAGTCCAAGCTGGAGTTCTCCATTTACCCAGCCCGCCAGGTTTCCACAGCTGTAGTTGAGCCCTACAACTCCATCCTCACCACCCACACCACCCTGGAGCACCCTGACTGTGCCTTCATGGTAGACAATGAGGCCATCTATGACATCTGTCGTAGAAACCTCGATATTGAGTGCCCAACCTACACGAATCTTAACCGCCTTGTTAGCCAGATCGTGTCCTCCATCACTGCTTCCCTGAGATTTTATGGAGCCCTGAATGTTGATCTGACAGAATTCCAGACCAACCTGGTGCCCTATCCCCACACGCACTGCCCTCTGGCCACATAGGCCCCTGTCATCTCTGCTGAGAAAGCCTACCATGAACAGCTTTCTGTAGCAGAGATCACCAATGCTTACTTTGAGCCAGCCAACCAGATGGTGAAATGCGACCCTCACCGTGGTAAATGCATGGCATGCTGCCTGTTGTACCATGGTGACATGGTTCCCAAAGGTGTCAATGCTACTATCGCCACCATCAAGACCAAGCGCAGCATCCAGTTTGTGGACTGGTGCCCCACTGGCTTCAAAGTTGGCACTAATTACCAGCCTCCCACTGGTGGAGACCTGGCCAAAGTACAGCAAGCTGTGTGCAAGCTGAGCAACACCACAGCCATCGCTGAGGCCTGGGCTCGCCTGGACCACAAGTTTGACCTGATGTATGCCAAGCATGCCTTTGGTACGTGGGTGAGGGCATGGAGGGAGGAGAGTTTTCTGAGGCCCGTGAGGACATGGCTGCCCTTGAGAAGGATTGTGAGGAGGTTGGTGTGGATCCTGTTGAAGGAGAGGGAGAGGAAGAAGGCAAATTCCCATTGCTTTCAGCCCCGCAGCATGTCATACTCAGAACTTGAGCTTCAACGTTAGCTGACAGGAGTAAAAGCTTTCTGACTAGATTGTCTTCACTTTCAACTGTGATCATGTATTACTTTTCCACGTGTACCTGTAAGATTTTTCTGTCATGTCTGAAAGGTAAAGGCTTTAAGAAAGATAAATAAATAAAGTGCTAGAACTTTCTGCCATAGCAGGCATGTCCGTATTTAAACAGAAGGTCAAAACACACTTGAAAACCAAATAGAAATTGTTTTAGATTATTATTCCCCATTCACTTCCCCCGACTATTGCTATAGTATAATTTGGGGGGAGGGGGTCCTTTTGACTTATTTAGGAAGGGAATATAAACATTCCACATTATGTTTCAGATTTGCTTAGATACTAGTATTTATCCTTACAAATGATTTTAATTCTTAACATGCTTTCACAGCTATCAATTACTAGCTCCATGACTGAAGTTCTGGCTTTCACTTACTGAAAGTAATCACAAGTCAGGATGGTAGTAGGCGGTGTTATAAGGGGTCCTGAAGAGCAGCAACTGACCCCCAGTGGCACAGGGAACATTCTAGATCAAAGCAAGAGAACAAGGGGGTGTTTGATGGGTAAGAGCCCAAGATTGGACAGTAGGGGAAGGGGTTCCACGGATTGATTTGCAGCAGTTGGGCTTGCATGGGACAAGGCATGGCCAGTTCTGCTCAGAGCAGACAGCTACTCTCAGCACTACCACAGTCCCATCACAGCGGGAAGCCAGTGTCACCTTTGCCCGTTTCCATTCTTAAAGGATAAACTCCAGAGAAGCTGCCATCCTAGGTGCTGATACCTGTCCCAGGTAGAATCAGTTTTGGGGAATGAGTCTGTCTCCATTAGGTCCTTAACTCCATAAGGTTGAGTATATACAGCTGCTTCTCAAATAATGGCTATGCCTGTGCTTTGCAGATGGAACCAGGCTCACAAATCTTCAGCAACCAACTTTCAGGGGCTTCCATCAAAAATAGATACCCTAAAGGAAGAGATGGATGAAGCTGGAAATAAAGTAGAACAGTGCAAGGTAGGAGAATTCCCTAATGAATATGTACTTAAATCAATCTTTTGGTTTTTCCAAGTGATGGATGAAAGGTCAAATATTGCAAATTATTTAATGTTTTACATAATTCCTATTAGGATTCCCTGAATGATATTCAAGGTAGGTTTTATTTTCTTCTTCCTTCTTTCTTTATTTTCTAAGACTCTACATTACTTTATACTCAGAATAAAGCATTATTTAAAAATAAAATTCAGGGACTTCCCTGGTGGCGCAGTGGTTAAGAATCCACCTGCCAATGTCCACCTGCCGGGGACATGGGTTCGAGCCCTGGTCTGGGAAGATTCCACATGCCGCAGAGCAACTAAGCCCGTGTGCCACAACTACTGAGCCTACACTCTAGAGCCCGTCCACAACTACTGAGCCCACATGCCGCAACTACTGAAGCCCACATGCCTAGAGCCTATGTTCCACAACAAGAGAAGCCACTGCAATGAGAAACCCGCACACCGCAACAAAGAGTAGCCTCCACTCTCTGCAACTAGAGAAAAAGCCCACGCACAGCAATGAAGACCCAATGCAGAAAAAAATAATTAATTGGAAAAAATTCAAGTAGGATATTTTTAAAAACTTGACAAAAACGTCTAAGCTTATTTAAAATGAAGAATCGGAGAATAAAAGGAGAAACTATAAAAACGTATCATAAAATTACAGCAATTAAAACAATGTGCAATAGGCACAAAAATAGATCCATGGAATTGTATAGGTTTTCTGGAATGAATGCTGTTATATTTAAGGGTTGAATATATAGTAAAGGGGTCATGATATATCCATAGAAAAGGGAAGGATTATTTTTAAAATGTTGCTAGGACAATTGGCTTCTAATTTGGAAGAAATGAAAATTTGTATCTCATAATCTAAATTCCAGACTAGGTGGTTATTCTCTATGCATCTATCTACAAAGATAAATGTTTATTCCAAATGTTATTTGAGGTGGTAAAGAAACAGGTCTTTGGTGAATCTTAGGATCATCGCCTGAGACTTTTCCTCCTCTTATTATTCATCATTTTCCAATAATGGTCTCCACATTCTACTAGATAGCATTAAGACTGCTCTATTTTAGTTTATTCAGGTCATGCTATAATTCACTTTTCATGATGGCAAACCTTGGACAGCTAACTGCAGTAAAATGACTTGTTGAAAATAATATAGTGGGTAAGAATTAATACTGGACTCACAAAGTCATGCCATAGCCTTTACATTTAAAAAGATGATAATCACACAAATGCTTCTGACAAAAGTCTTGCACTGGCTTATTCTTGTTCAGAAGAGTTGTAGTTTTGCCAGTGTCATTTACGCAGCAGTCTTCTTCATATCTGGTCTAACCTAGATCTTGGCTAGTGGCTCCTTATTGGATATAAATTTGTCTAGTAGTTTGGGGGTTTGAACTGGTGCATTATAGGCTAAGTTAAAAGAGAGACTTCTTTTTTTTTTTTGTGGTACGCGGGGCTCTCACTGTTGTGGCCTCTCCCATTGCGGAGCACAGGCTCCGGATGCACAGGCTCAGCGGCCATGGCTCACGGGCCTAGCCACTCCGCGGCATGTGGGATCTTCCCAGACCGGGACACGAACCCACGTCCTCTGCATCGGCAGGCGGACTCTCAACCACTGTGCCACCAGGGAAGCCCAAAGAGAGACTTCTTCTTTTTTTTTTTTTTTGAGAGACTTCTTTTAACTTACATACCACAGCTTGTCAGAAAGTCAAATGGTAAAAACTTATGAAAATATTTTCTATTTCCTTCTCTCTTTATGTTAACTTCTGGGTAATTTCCTGAGATCTAAGTTCTGTTTCACTGATTCTCTCTTTAGCTATGTCTGATCTGCTGTTTAATTAACGTTGAGTTTTGAATTTTGTTGACTATATTTTTCATTTTAAAGTTCTAATTCTTCAAGTCTGCCTTTTTTGATAGTGCATTATTCTTTTTAGTATTTATTTTTTAATGCTTTTAATCATTTATATATACTTATTTTAAGTCTTTGTTAGTTAATTCTGTTTTCTGAAGTTCTTTATGACAGTGGTGGGAGTTTCCTTTATGGTGGGTTGTTTTGCAGTTTTGTATTGTGAGCTCATTTTAAGAGGGACTTTATCTGTGGGACTTCTGGGGATTAGGAGTGAGTCTCCCAGAGAGTATTACCAAGCCATTTTAAACTAAACTTTCTCAGTTCGAGGATTCCTGGACCACACAGAGAATCAACTCAAAGTTCAGACCCTCATGAAAGCAGGTCTATATTTATTTGTGAACTCTCAGGGAAATGTTTTACTTTCCCAGATACAGAGGCCAATCCAAAACGGAAGGTAGTACATTAAAAATATATATATGTATATATATGAATATGTATATGAAAATTGGAAATATGGATATATCCAATTGCCCAGTCTATCAGTTTTAAGCTAATTATTTAATTCTTATGTAAGTAATTTATTTACATTAGTTCAAATATAAAAAGTATAAAACGGTATACAGTAAAGTCTTTCTTCTGCCCCTGTCCTCCTCCTCCTCCTAATTTCCACTGCTCTCAACAGGTAACCACTGTTACTAAGTTCTTGCTTTTTTCCCTAGGGGTATTTTTATACAAACATGGTGATAAAAATATTTCCTCTCCCTTTTTTACCCAGATAGTAACATACCATACCAGAAGTAGTGCTCTGTGCTTTGCTTCTTAACAAGGCATATTAATAATAAACCTTGGAGATCTTTCCATGTCAGTCCATAATAAGCTTGATTATTCTTTTCGTTATCTCTGTGTATGATTGTACCAGTGAGTTGATGGACGTTTAATCTGCAGCTGTTTCATTACAGTTTGCTCTAGGAGCTCACAGATCAATTCGTATTTTCTTTCACCTCATTTTTCTTCAATGACCTATCTTCTCTTCCACTTACCCAGGATCAACTTGCAGCGGATATGTACAATTTTATGGCCAAAGAAGGGGAGTATGGCAAATTTTTTGTTACGGTAAGCACTTTGCCCTGACGAGACGTTAAAGCATTGTAAAAGTTGAGTCATTTTAGCTTTTTTGCAAAAGATGTCATTTTTGGTTTTGCTCAGCCATTGTGTGTGTGTCCATCCAATGCTAACGTTACTTTTGTTTTTGAATGTGGGTCTGTTCTCAGTTATTAGAAGCTCAAGCAGATTACCATAGAAAAGCATTAGCAGTCTTAGAAAAGGCCCTTCCCGAATTGCGAGCCCATCAAGGTAACGTAACCTGCGTGCTGGCCTGATGCCTTCTTCTCGCCTCTGCCACTTCTGCCTCTGTTCTTCTTTACTCAGCTCCTTTGCATGCATTTCCTTTGGACAAAGCCTCTCTGCCTCGGCGGGCACTATTTCCCAGCACACCTTCATCTTCCCTTGCTGCATTCTCTAATTTCTTCCAAACGCAAATTAACATACTAATGGAACATTTGCAGTTCTTCTGAAATCTTCAGTTGAAGAGAAAGCTGCACCCTTTGGGGGAAGCATCTGTTTTTCTATCCTCTAAATAGGCTCAAAACATTCTAGCCTCTAATTATCTTTTTGCAAATCAGTTATTTGTTTCATAGGGCTTAATTCTAGCCCTGTGATTCCAAGAGCATACATCCTATGAAAAAAATTTTGGACTTCCCAAAAGGAATTTTAGAAGCCAGTACCTGATACCGCATCGTCAGGCACATAATCAGTGTGATTGAATTGTGAGACCACGACCACCCCGTTCAGATCTTGTTCTCATCAGCACTCACTTTGCCCACCATATTTAAGCACACTGCAGATCCTACCCTCAACTTACGAGTGGACCAGACTTTCCTTTGATGTTTAGTTTTAAACTGAACATTAACACTTTTGATTCTAATTCTCTCTGATTTGCCATCAGAGCATCTATCAGCAGAGATCAGTAAATGATCAGACATTCCTCTGTCACCTTTGGACCTGTTATACTCTTTCGCTTATGGTATAGTCCTGACATTTGGGACTCAGGTGCCACAGACAGAACCACTGGTCTCAAGCCGAAAGAGGATCAAGCCAGGTGCTGAGTGTGATGACTCTGTGATTGTGAAAGAGACTGAGCATGTGTGTGAATGGGGCTGGTTATGTCTGTGCGTACACACTGGCCCCTCAAGAATACCACTCCTCCTCCCCTAAATTGCAGGCAGTCCCAGCAGGGTGTGACTTTGTGCCTGAAAGTCCTTAGATTTTGGAATCAGAGAATTCTATGTAGGAATTCCCTGGCGGTCCAGTGGTTAAGACTCCGCGCTTCCACTGCAGGGGGCGCAGGTTTGGTCCCTGCTCGGGGAGCTAAGATCCTACGTGCCGCACAGCGCGACCAAAAAAAAAAGAAAAGAAAATGCTATGTCTTGACTGACCCCTTAGCCAGGTCTTTAGCCATCTTGAGTGTAGTGGCTCTGATTTGCTGGGCCAATCTTCAGAGGACGAGCTGCCCTTGCTTTCCAGAGCGATCCCATTTCCTGATCCGTGGGTAATGGGGTTGAGTCAGAGTGCAAAGGAATGAAGCTGCTGGCGAACAGTCAGCCTCGCAAGGGGCTGACTCTTGCTGGCCCAGGTCAGAGCACCGGGAGCCTGTGTTTGTGGGGAACCTTCTGTGTGCAGGGCCCTGCCCAGGACAAAACAGTAAACGTCATCATCCTAGCCTTTGAATGGCTATAAGCCTGGTTTGGAAAGGTTGACTTAACGGGCCCAAAAAAGAGAAGATTTAAGCAGCGCCATGCCCCCTTTTTTTAAACTCCCATTCTATTTTTACCCAAGGCTATTTTCCCTAGAGAAATATGTCAGAAAGTCATGGGGAACAGGCAGGGGCAGGGAAGAGGTTTAGGATGGAACAAGGGAAGCTGGTGTGTGAGGGGGAGTAGCCAGTGAAGGAAATGAGATTCTTCTTTCTCTCTAAGGCTGCCGCCTTCACCCAAGCCTTGGAATTCAACCCTTCTCACCTCTGCCTGTCCGCAAATCTGCCTCTCATCTTAGTTCTGTCCTCCTCTTCCTTCTTCTCTGTTTTCAGAAAGACTCAGAGTGTCCTTACGGTAGGAGAAAAAAAAAACTTGCCCGTCTGCCCCGTGCCCCTGTGCACCCTGGTCTCACACTCTCGGTCGGCTGGCCTTAGCTCGGTACCTGCCTGTCCTCAGCGTGATGCCCCGTTTCGTTGCATTCTCCTTCGTTTTCCTGGGAGGTTCTTTGAATGACTCATTTCCGTCGCCACTCCTCAGAAGTCAAGCCTTTCCTGAGATCCAGTCCTTTCTCCTGTGTTCTTCTCCCTCCCTCCCACCTTTTCTCTCAAAATCCCCTCATTTTGGTGGCCTCCACTGACACCTGCATCTCTATCCTCTCAGCCTCAGTGTCAGTTCCCTTTGATGACCGGCTGTCACCTTAAACTCAGCGTATCTCAAGAAGCAAACTGATGCTTCCCCCACACCAGCTGGCCTTTCCTCCCCGCCTCCGTCTCCTTGGTACCTCCTTTCTCCAAACAATCCAGGTTTCAAACCTTGGAGCCATCTTTTCCTTCCTTTCTGATACCCTCTCGCCAGGTGCCTTTTTCCCTCTGCTGTGCCCTCCTCGTCATTCTCACTGCCTCACTCTACTCCATGCCCCTGTCGCCCGGTGCGCAAGTGTGGAATAAAGTGTCCATCCCCAGACTCAGGATCCCTGGTCTTTTCTCAGCCTAAGTCCTCCTGGTCTATTTAATTCCTGTCCATCTTCTAAGACCTTCGCCAAGCTCCCCTTCTTTGAGAAGCCTTCTCTGACAACTGAAGCCAACAGTGAACACTTTCGTCTCCTGAATCACTCTAGCATTTATGGTCTACACCAGAAGTCGCAAACAGCCATATCTCATTAAAAATAAAAATAAATTTCTTTTTAAACTAATTGCCGTCATTTAAAAATCAGACTCTTTTCACATAACAGTGCTAACTTCTGGCTTCTCCTGAAAGTCCAGAGGGCCTGGCGATGCTGGGTCTGCTTTCCTGCGTGGTGACATTGCTCTGACGCCAAGGAGCAGCTGCTGCGTCTTGGCCGACCACGCCCTGCCCACCCCGATCCCGCACCTCCAGTGCCCATCCGGCCCCTGCAGACGATTGTGTTTGCGACCCTAGTCTATACCATTTTTCTGCCACGGCTTAGCAAACACGTCTTGTCTTGTTCATTGCTGTTGTGCGTTTGCCTGTGTGTCTTGTGTTTTCTTCACACGTAGACTGCTCTCATCCCAGGGGCGGGGGGGCCGCTGTGAACTCTGGGTGCCTGCTGCAGGGCCTTGCATGTCAGAGGTCTGTGGTTTGAGGAGCAGCCCCTGCGGTGGAGTTTGCCTCCGGAGTGGCCTCTAGGTCAGCGGCTCTCACCTCCACCCTCTGCCAACCTTCCACCGAGGTGGGGGAGGGCACCCTGTCCAGGGTTTACTAGAAAGTTCCAGCAGGAGTCTGGATTGTGCCCGCCTCTCAGCATAGTAGGGCCGGGCATGGGGAGGTGACGGCAGGAGTCGTTTGCAGAACTCCCCCTGGGTGATTCTGATGTATCCGCCCAGGCGAAGGGTCAGCTGGCCCTTTTCTGCCTGTGTTGAGAATCATTGCTTTAGATGAAAGGGAGAAAGTATTCAAGGTAAGATCTGGCCTTTGAGAGGACTGTCGCAGAGCTCTGAGAAGGGCCAGGCCCTTGGATGCTTCTTGTGTTTGGAATTCCACTGACCAGGGCCGGGGCTGAAGCCAGGGACGAGGGGCCTCCGGACAGTTCTGAGAGTGGCCACTGCCTTCCGCCCTCCCCACCCCTTCCTTTAACCTTTACCCTACTTGCTCTTGCCATCAAGTTTTGACTTTTCACAAGCGCCCAGGTCTGCGGGTTTGTGGGATCTCACTTTCCTTCCTGTGATGGGCCCCGCCTGCTCTCACGTGTAGGGCAGTGTCAGAGCCACGCTAGGGTTACACTGCCTGCCTGGAATCCAGGATTCGAATACCAGAGTGGCTGAAGGACACACGTCCGCAGGCTGAGAGGGACATGAGCCCTTCCTGTCGCTGGAAAGAACCACGCTTCCCCAGTGGAGTATTTTCCACCAGCTGGTGTGCCCCCTTTGGCTTCTGTGTGCTTCTCAGTCAGTGCTGGATCTCTGCACCCCGCCAGGCAGGCTGCGCCCAACCACACCCCTCTTACTCCCCTTCAATACATCCATGTCCGAAATGCCTGTTTCTGTTTCCCGCTTTATTGTATGTCTTTTTGCTAAGCTGCCTCAAATCTTTTGTGGAACGAAGCAGAGCATACGACTGGAAGATAATATGCAGTATTGCTTTGCTGCTGTCGGCACAGCCTCCAGCCTCAGCTGCCTTGGGGCTACATTCTCTCCTACTCAGAGCCTTGGACTCTTTGGGGATATGGCACCAGAAGTGCTGCATGTACTGGAGATGTCGCCTCTAATAGGGGTTGGCATGGGCCCTCTCCAGTCCTGTATGACAATGCTTGGCCTGTGTTTAAATTTTTAAGAAATTATTTCCTTTTTTAATGGAAGGAGTCTACTTCTCGTCCTCTAGGTAGAAGACCAGTTATGCTTTTCATGGCTAGATAAATTTCAGTGAAAACAGTGTGCCTAGATGGACCACTGGTTTTAGCGCAAGGCAGCCCACCCGTCTCGGGTAAATGCGGGTGTGATGCTGGGCTAGAAGCACCATCGCAGCTTCCACTGGGCATCTTGCATTGGGTGCCACGTGGGCGCGTCAGGGCGCTGATCTACTGGTCACCTCCCCAGCCTGGCACACATTTTGTACCCTAGTAAATGGGAACTGACAAAAGCGAAGAGAATAGATGCTTCCCCCTTTCCAAATCCTTGGCTACGGGCTTTAAAAAAAAAAAAAAAGAAAAATCCCCTTCAGTAGTTTGGGGGAGGAAATAACTTGGCAATGCCGTGAGGTTGTCTAGTGTCTTACTGAATGACCTGCTGCTCTAGATAAGTGGGCAGAGAAGCCCGCCTTCGGGACGCCTTTGGAAGAACACCTGAAGCGGAGCGGGCGTGAGATCGCGCTGCCCCTTGAGGCCTGCGTCATGCTGCTCCTGGAGACGGGCATGAAGGAGGAGGTGAGGCCCCACCGCCCCGGCCGGCCTCTGCGGACCAGTGGCTCTCCAACCGCGCTCACCGTGACCACATTTCACGCTGAGACCCTGTCCATGTTGCCGTGGTAGACCCTAAATGAGACAGAGGTTTCACAGAGCAGTACTTACCTTGCCTACCTGCAGTACACTCTGCCTTTTTCTTGTTGGCCCCATTTGATTATTTCATTTTACACTGTGGTTGTGATTTGTGAAAATGAATTTCATGAGGTGCTATAGAACCAGAGCTCCCATGAGCTTTAGTTTCTAATAACACGAATTTTATATTTGTGTAGAACTGTGTTGTCGGGTGGAAGTGGGAGGGGCATTTACATACTTTATTTTGTGGAATCCTTACCCAGAAAACCCCATGAACCAAGCATTACTCTTGTGTGTAGACATTACTCTTCTTGTGTAGACAAGGAATTCAGCACACGAGGAATTCATGCCGGGGCAGAGCTAGAATCAAAACACAAGTCTTCTTTTAACCTTTGAAAGCTTAGTATTGAAGTGTAACGTACATATAGAAAAGTGCATGTATCATAACTGAACAGCTTGATACATTTTCACCATCTGAACTCACCCATGTAATCAGCACCCAGATCAAGAAACCCCCTGGGGAACCTTCCTTGCACTTGCTTCCAGTCACGCCCCCGTACCCTGACCCCATCAACGTCACCTCAGCTCCTAACAGCCTAGATGAGAGCTCCTCACCCAAGGCCGGTTTCACTGCCTCCGGGGAACTTTTGGCAAGGTCTGCAGACATCTTTGATTGTTACAACTTGGGGAGCAGAGGGAAGAGTTGCTACTGTCTGTCCAGGGGGTAGAGACCAGGGATGCTTCTAGACATCCTTCAGTGCACAGGACAGCCTCACAACAAAGAATTATCTGGCCCAAAGTGTCAGTACTGCTGAGGTTAGGAAACTCTGCCTAGATTAATGTTGCTAAAAGCCCAAGTCTTATAAGTGCTGGCCCAACGTCTCCATCAGGCCTGCTCCCGTGGCTGACCTGTCATGGGTTTTTCTCCGAGTAACATTTAGGGCAGTGAAAGTGACCGGTAGTCAAGCCTAACAATTTTTCTTGAGATTTCAGTTTTTAAAAAATATTCCTAAATTTAGAAAATCCATGGTGATCAACCTGGTGGAAGTATGAAATATAGCTTTTAAATAGATTCCTAACAGGCATGGTTATTTTGGCAATGGGGCAGGGCACGAGCTAGCACTGATTGAAAATGGTCTGCTCTCTGCCTGTCACTCTGCCCGGGGTACAAGCTCAGTCCTCTTTACTCCTCCCGACAGCCCTGCAGCTCTCCTGGATAAGCTGTGCTGGAGCTGGGGGGGCGGGGTGGGTGGAAGGCTCTTCCATCAGATTTTTACTGCCACTCAGTGTAAGGCTCACAACTTGAACTTGATACTAACGGCTTTTCATGTCTTTAGGGCCTTTTCCGAATTGGGGCTGGGGCCTCCAAGTTAAAGAAACTGAAAGCTGCTTTAGACTGTTCTACTTCTCACCTGGATGAGTTCTACTCAGACCCCCATGCTGTAGCAGGTGAGCTCCAAGGAGGCGCCCTCAAGGTGGTAACAGATCATCAGTTAAAGGTCCAATATTAAGTGACAGTTAAATGGTCTCCTTATAAGTTTAAGTGACAAAACTGAAATGACAAATAAAACTGAAAAGCATGTGTGCGTGCACTTACACATACATATCTTTTCTAGTTCTGTTTTGGGGGTTTTGTTTTGTTTTCCTGATTATCAAGTAAAGGTGAAGGTAGCTTATAATCCAGATGTTTAGAGGCATGCTTTTATTTTCTTCCCTTTTACCCCCAAATCTCCATCTGCCTAGAGAGATGATGTCTTATTAAGAAGATAGCTTTGAAACTAATTTTATTTTCTATTGATCTCTCAATATATTTTACGAGGGATGGAAATTGTTCTATGAGCATTTCATTCTGTAACCACTCCTGCCAATTCATGATTTATTCTATACATTGTGAACGGTTATCGTTGAGATCATTTCAATTTGCAAAATAATATATCCTGAGAGTTCCGGCCTTGCCCCTTGTCATACTCAAAGAGGGTGTTAATAATTTCAGGTGCTTTAAAGTCCTATTTACGGGAACTGCCTGAACCTTTGATGACTTTTAATTTGTATGAAGAATGGACACAAGTTGCAAGGTAAGTTTAAAGAACACCTAGTTTTAAAAGCTAAAGGAAACGACGCAATACTCTGTCCCCTTTGTAAATCATCTTACCCTTGGGGATCATAAAAATAACATTAAAGGGCTTCCCTGGTGGCGCAGTGGTTGAGAATCCACCTGCCAATGCAGGGGACACGGGTTCAAGCCCTGGTCCGGGAAGCGGAGCAACTAAGCCCGTGCGCCACAACTACTGAGCCCGCGTGCTGCAACTACTGAAGCCCATACGCCTAGAGCCAGTGCTCTGCAACAAGAGAAGCCACCGCAATGAGAATCCCGCGCATCACAACAAAGAGTAGCGCCCACTCACCGCAGCTAGAGAAAAGCCCGCGTGCAGCAGCGAAGACCCAACACAGCCAAAAATAAATAAATTTATAAAAAAATAATAATAACATTAAAATAGTGTATTTAGAGCTGTTGTTTATCCCTTCCCCTCCATTCCCAGCTTCCGTCTGCCCGGAAGTAGTTGGTTTAGGCAAGGCAGTCTTGTTGCAAAAGTTCTAGAGGTTTTCTCCCGCCGACCAGCCCACATCCTTGTCAACTTGTCCCTCCCGGTTCTCACTCAGAGGTGCCTAATTCCTCACCTGTAAGGGAAGAGGAACACACCTCCCCTGCCCTTCCACTCCTCCCCCTGTCTTCAGATGCAGTCACCCGTTCCCATCAAATAAGCTGTGTGCTCCGACGAGCTTTATGTCGTCACTTGAACCAGGCATCTGAGCTTTTCTCCGTAGCTGTGGAGTGAGAGACTTTGTCCCTGGTAGGTGGTGAGGATTTTAAAGTCAGAGTAAGTCCTTGGTCTGGTTGTGTCCTTGGAACCCAGCCCAGGGCGCAGCCTGCCGTGAGTGCCCGTGTTTGTGGGGCTGAAGGAATGGAACCTGCCCTCAGTGTCAGGTCGGGGTTCTAGGGTCTCGTATTGGGTGGGCTTCTTCGCTTCTCCTAGGCCTTGACTCTTCTCTCTGTTCTGAGACTCCCAAACTCATCCTGTGAGGAAATAAGCTGTAAAGGAAGGTATCCGTCCACCGGTGTGTTGCTTCTACACTTGAGAACTGTCATCCCCTCCCGGTGACACGTCAACTAGCTTCTAAAGTATAATCATGTTTAAGCCCTACCCGAAGCTCTGCAGGCTGGTTCAGTTGTGGAGGAGGTTTTAAGTCCAAAGGCATGTCGTGTGGGCAACTTCGAACACTCTGTGCTGCTGGTGGGCAGAGGTGACTCTGCTTTGCAGGCTCTTTGGGCCTGTGAAAGCTTGCACGTTGAAACTCTGCAGCAGAAGACCTCCAGCAGTTGCCTCACAACAGAAAGGGCTTCTTGGCCTGGAGCCTTTCAGCAGTACTGAGAGCAGGGAGAGACCCAGGGGTCTGGGTGCTGGGAGCATCTGGCTCCCCAAGGCTGTACGTGAATATGCACGTTTTCTAGACAGAATTTTCAGAATGTCTCCTGTGTGCCATGCATTGGTCTGGGGGGGTCCCTCCTTGTTCTGCCTCTGAAGCCTCACGGTCACTTGGCAGAATTAACATTCTTATCCCCAGTTTGGCACATCAGGAGACTGAGTCTTGGCAAGGCTGACTAACTGCTCAGAGTATGTTGGTTAGTATTTGACTCCAAATTTCTTTCCCAAAAAATGGGCTTTTAAAACATTTTTTATTTATTTATTTTTAAAATTTTGGCTGCACCACGCAGCTCATGGGATCTCAGTTCCCTGACCAAGGCTTGAACCCGGGCCATGGCAGTGAAAGTGCCAAACCTGATCCACTAGGACCACCAGGGAGCTCCCGCTGTGCTGTTTTCCAGCTGTGCTTTCTCTGTCAGTAGAGGCATCGCTGTGAATATAGCAGATGAACACAGGTATTCCTAAAATGAGCATTAATAAATGGTTATGAATAAATTTGTTTTTCTCAGTGTACAAGATCAAGACAAAAAACTTCAGGATTTGTGGAGAACATGTCAGAAGTTGCCACCACAAAATTTTGTTAACTTTAGGTATGTATGATTGGCATTCTGCAAATTAAGCCACCAAGCTACAGCGAAGAATGGTTTAATCCACAGCAGAGGCCGTTTAATTCAAGCCTGTTTGGCACATCAAAAAAATGCTCTGGAGAGCAACTCGGGTTTGCTGGGAAGGGGATTTGGTGTATATTACTGTGATGCACCTGAAGCACACTGATTGTGTCTGGCATTAATAGGTAAGTTGCCTGATCATTTTATCGTTGCAGCTATTGGGGAAAAAAATTCTTGTGGAAAGGTTGACTGACAGTATGTTGGATTTGGAGTCTAAATTGTCCAGTATCTACAAGGCAAAAATTAAACAATAGCTGTACTTTCTGTAATATCTTTCATATATGCTACATAATTTATTTTAAGCAGAGCACAAATCATCCTACTAAATAAAATTTCAAGAAATGCAGATTATGTATTAGCTTATGGAATGACTATGTTTTTAGGAAATTTTACCGTGGAATAACTTTCTAGGATTTAACCTCTATTTTCCCTTTGACTTAAAATATAACTTTGAAGAAGCATAGAGAGAAGGGTAAAAGGTAGCCCCAGGTAACAAAGTCATTTAAAACCAAAGAAAATGTTGTGAGAGGATTTGGTCCAAAATGACAAATACTTGACTGGTGAAATTTCTGGTATGCCACTTGACCGTTAATTTCAGTCTTAGGTCCTGTCACCAAGCTAAGCTAAACATTCTCTTTTAACATCTTAACTCTCAATTTTGCCTTATGAGTGCGTTGATATAGATCATATTCCTTATCTGACTCATTTAACACACCCAGCTTGGAATTGCAGGTACTCTTAGCCCATTTAGTGTCTTATGGTGGAGACTGAATTACAGTTCTTTTACTTTGGGATTTAGCCTTTTATTTTGTTTAATTTACTCATTAAAATGTTTACTAATTGTTTTTTGAATAGGGAGGACATTCCCGTCGTTCAAAGTTCAAAGATGTACATTGGAAAAAATCTCTCTCCTCTTCCTCTCTCCCAGCCACCCTACTTCCTGTCCTGAGACACAAACTATGTTTTCAGTTTCTTATATATCCTGTCAGCAAGAGATGATACATATAGAATCAAATATATATATATACATATACATATGTACAAACATTTCTTTCTCTCACAGCTTTCACTTTTTTAAAAAACCAAATGGCAATGTATATTATATACATCATTCTCCTCCTTGCTTTCTTTGCTTAATATACATCCTGTAGGTTTTTCCATATCAGTACTTCTTACTTTTTTATGACTGCATAGTACTCCACTGTGTGGCTGTGTTGTAATTTATTTAATCAGCCCCCTATTGGTAGATAGTTGGGTTGTCCTTAATTTTTTGCTTTTATAGTGCTGTTCTTGTACATAAGAGAGTATATCTATATGATAGATTGGATATCTTCATAGTTACAGCCTAAAGCATTTTCAAATACAGTTTCTTTTAAGCAATATGACTATACTTCTGTTTTTTTATTATGTTTGTATTAAAAACATTGATCCCATTGTTAATCATAGTATAATCTATTTCGGGGTAGATAGGGCATAAAGGAGAAACGGATTAGAAATACACAGCATATAGAGATCAAATCTTTGAGGTTTACGTTTGATCTGTTTTCACCTTTCAAGCCCTAAACTATCTGTTCCATGAAACAAAGAACACACCCCGAGCCGGATTTGGATTTAGTCATTTAACACCCTGCAGTTAGCACCTGAGCAGTCTGGGGCTGAGCGCCCCCCAGGCAGGGAGATACTATTCCTCCAAATATTTCAGAGTAGATGCTCTCCCCCTTCTCTTTTGTTCCATAGGTATTTAATCAAGTTCCTTGCAAAGCTTGCTCAGACCAGTGACATTAATAAAATGACTCCCAGCAACATTGCAATCGTGTTAGGCCCTAACTTGTTATGGGCCAAAAATGAAGGGTGAGTAATCATTTCCCATATCCTATTATTTTAACTTCTTTCCGCCTGATGGAAACAATAGAAATGTAACCCACTTCTGAAGTTGATCTTTCCCTTTAGCTGACTTTCTCGGAGCACTGCTGTGAGCTGGGTCCTGTCCCAGACGCTGGTCACACAAAGGTGTAGGAGACCTTGTCCCAGTCCTCAAGGGGCCCCAGTTCTGGGCAGCCAGGCAGGTGGACGGCTATAGTGCAGTGATAAGCTCCGCATACACATCTGTGTATCACAGACGTTATAAAGGAGGAAACAGCTCAGGTTGAGAAGTTCAGGAGGCGATGGCACTTGAGGGGCTGATGGATGAATGGTTTCCCACGCGTGGGACCTGAATGAGCCCCGCACAGCGGGTGTGAAAGGGCCTGGTGTCTATATTGGCTGGGGGTGGGGGGGGCGTAATCACGTGGTCTCATGTAACTTGAGCACAGGGGCCATGAGGCTGTGGCCGAGGTTTATGGAGCTGGAGCCGGGTTAGGAAGGGCCTCACGTATCTTGCTGAGATGTTAGGAACTTATTTTACGGGTCGTGGGGAGGAAGGGAGCAATCAGAATTTCTCAGCAGAATGACTTGATCAGATTGCATTTAGAAAGATAATTTGTTGGCATTGAGAGCTGCAGATTGACTGGAGGAGAGGGATCAGGGAGGTCAGCTAGAAAGCGTCTGGGAAATCACTCAGGTTGTTGTCTGCTCTGTTTGGTGGCATTATGATCCAGTTAATCCTCACAAGTTATCTTTTGGAGTTGGTGCTTTTGTCCTCACTTTTGCAGGTGAAGATGCTGAGGCTTAGAGAGGACGAATAATTTGCTTAAGGTTGCACAGCAGGGAAATGGTGGGGCCCATAGAGTCTGTCCTTAAGCTTCACCACCCTTCCCTGCCCCCCGTCACTGCTGTTCAGCTTTGGAAAATCATGAGCGGTTCAGATTTCCATCAAAAAATGCAGGGACTTTCTGAATCAAAATCTTTCTATCTTTAACTCATTCATTCCCTCATGTATGCTCACTCTTGTTTCAGAAAGTATTTATAAGATTCTTTACAAAGATCCAATGTCATAAAGCAAATCAAAGATAAGTGGATATAAAAGCTAACTACATAGTACATCACATCTTATAGCAAATAAATTCCAGGAAGACCACAGAGGTAAATATAAAGAGTGATGTCATAAATATGGCAGGTTAAAAAATAAATAAACATAAACACGGCAGGTAAATATTTATTAGCTTTGGGGATATAAATGAATTTTATAAACATAAAATCAGTTCTGGAAACAAGTAGATTTAGCTCTATAACAGCTAGAAACTTCTGTAAGTCAGAAAGCTCCTTAAATAAATGGCAATTCACAAACTAGGAGTTCCTCAAAACATATCCAGATATGTAAACAGGTCTTGAAATCAATAGACAAACAGTACCTCCTCAAAAAGAAAAATTTGCAAAGAACACGAGTGGACGGTTCCTCCCCAGTTCTAAGGTTCTCAGGTACGGGAGGGATCAGAATCCAGATGGGCAGAGGGAAGTGTGAACAGGTGGGGAGGAAAATTTACAGACAGAGCTTGCATTTTAAGCTGGAATTTAAAAGGAGCTAGAACTTTCACCTGGTTGGAAATTGGAGTGAAAATGTTCTCCCCAATGGAAAGAGAGGTCAGAGTGATAAAATGAGGGGGGGGAGATAGGTTTGGAGCAGTCAGGTGTGGGATCCAGCCTATCAGGGATTCAGTGTCTTCATTTATAAGGCCTCAGGACAGTCCCCATGTTGTAAAAATTAAATGCAGGGAGGAATCTGAGGCTCTGAACGTGGTAGGTGCTCAGTAAGTGTCAGGCCCTTGCAGCTTGTCTGCTTTCCCGTGTTCTGACTCTGAACTGGATATGAGCCCCTCAACAGCAGGAACGATTCTTCTTTATTTTCTTCCTCGTGGGCCCTGGGCATTCGGACACAGTCAGCTTCTGGACATGCATCTTGGGACCAGTCCACATACGTGCGTGACAGCCTTAATAATGTGTAAATGCGGGGGCCCAGGTCTTCTGCTGGTGAGAGGCACCCTGAAACACTGCATACGCTCGGCTGCATTCTAGGCAGAATGGGTCTGTGGTGATCTGGGGACTTAGAAGATGACTCCCAGGGGAAGGACTGTGCCACCCTGTCCCCAGACAACTGAAAACCAGCATTTTGACACACTGTTGGTCACTGACTTACACCTAGTTGTTATCACAACACAGACTAAGAAGTGACAGCCGAGTCAGGGCAATTTTTCTTCCTGGTGATCACTGCCACACCCCTAGGCCAGGGCCTTGTGCGTTTAATTTTTGCATTCGTACTTAAATGTTTTATCCTTTTGATATAAAATATTGAATTGCCCTGACTCAACCTGCAGACGTCAGAGGCTGCCTAGGGGAGGTGTTTTAACTTTGTGAACTTCCTTTGCAGAACGCTAGCCGAAATGGCAGCGGCCACATCCGTCCACGTGGTTGCTGTCATTGAACCCATCATTCAGCATGCCAACTGGTTCTTCCCCGAAGGTAACTGCCACTCCGAGTTCACTGACTCCAAAAGCACAATAATGTACAACAATAGTATAAAAAATCTTTTTGAAGAAGCAGATACTTCAGTAATCCCTTCATGATTACATAATTGGCTTCACTTTTTCACGTTTCTTTTTAGACTATTTGCATTCATATTTTGACAAAGCAGTAACCACATTATTGTGTATTTCACTTTGTTTCACTTAACGTGGAGTCATTCATTCAGCCAGTGTATACTGAACACTCCCTAGGCGCATATGTTTGCTGGTAAGAAGACATGCTGTCTTCCCTGGAGGAGCTTGGTCACTGGAGAAGGAGGCTTCATCATCAGAGAAATTGTAACACATGGCACATTAGAAGGAAGATGGATGGGGAATGAGTTGACAACTCATGCTGGGCACAAAGTGCCGGGGATTGCTTTATAGAAGAGGTGACACTGAATATGCAGGGATCCTCAGAGCTTCCGCGGCTCCCTTTGCGGGTACCGGTTGGGCAAGTGCTGGGAGTCTGGACCTCCCACCCCAGCTTCGCCCAGAGCAGCCCTGCTGTCATCCTCTGGCGTGTAAGCTCCATGAGGCCAGGGCACGCTCCTCTTTTCTTTACCACTGACTTCCGCCGTCGAGAATCACGCCCCACTCATGTAAGGTTGTGCAGTAAATGTGAGATGGATGAATGAATATTGTCATTCTGTCCAAGATTTCCCTTGAGAAAACGAGTCTTCAAAATCTGCTATAGGCAGTATGGAATTGATGTTGCCTTTTATTTCTATTTAATATCAAGCTGTAAATATCTTATTTTTTATGATTCAGATGAGTATAACCCATGCTCACCTTCCTCTTCTGTATTCCATGATTTTTTTTTTTAACAGAAAGGAAAGCAGGGGAGTTGTGTGACTTGGATTCTGAGTCATACCCCCTCCCCTATTTCTGGTTTTCTTATTTTACCCGCCACCCTGGTTTGGTAAACTGTCCTTTAAGAAGGTGAGAGTGCCCGGGGCTTCCACCTGTGAAATAGTGAGGGCTTGTGGATGGAAGAATGAGGCTCCTATTCCAGTGGGGTGTCCTCAAGCTCCCTCAACCCCTGTGCCCTGTGTCTCACATATACTTGTTTCTTTCTTCTGGCAGAGGTGGAATTTAATGTATCAGAAGCATTCGTACCTCTCACCACCCCAAATTCCAATCACTCATCCCACACTGGAAATGACCCTGTCGACTCGGGGACCCTGGAGAGGAAGCGGCCTGCCAGCATGGCGGTGATGGAGGGGGACCTGGTGAAGAAGGAGAGGTGTGTGCAGAGCTGTTGACTTTCACACCAGCGGTCGATGGCTCGGAGAGGAGTCAGTGGGCCCACCGTCCCTGGTCCTGCCTCAGTGGCCTTGCCATTGGGGAGTGGCCTGCACCCAGGCCTGTTAGAGTCCAGCTAGTTTCAGGAATTCCGCTTTAGTCCATTCCAAACATTAATCTGACCCCAAAGTAGGTGTGTAGCTTGTCAGTTAACAATCATACCTGACGCATTCAAGCTTAACTGGGTGGTCTCTAATAAGCCCTACACAGCAGCATCACACACATGTTACAAATTCACCTAAATGTACTTGGTTGGGGAAAAAGAAAGAAAAAGAAAAAAAAACGTTAGGTATTGTGGACGTCTGTCCAGGAGCGAATGTGAGAACAACCCACCTCTCACAGTGACATGTGCGAGTTGGTGTCCGAAGACATATATTCTTTGTATAACCTGGCCCCTCACTGGAAGCCAACCATAGAAACCTCAGTGTTTGCCAATTCTGGAATCAAAAAAAAAGCCTGTGTTGGACTCGTGAGAGACAGTGCTAGTCTCTGTTGCTAGGCTCCTTGGGTGATTTGTGGGATTTTCAAAGGTCCTTAAGGCTATTTGGGATTTTTGCCTTCAGATGCCAATCTATCCGACATGTGTGCTGCAGTGCCACTGCGTTCACCGATAATGCTGAATTAGAAGTCGTGTGCTTTTCTCGCATACATGCAATAATGTTACTGAAAGTAGTTTTACATTAAAACTAAACAGCAAGCTCTTATTCTAATTGCCCAATCTTATAGTGTGGTCTGTTTTCTGTTTTGCCTTTTTTTTTTTTTTTAAACCCATAGAAAAGGAAAAAGCTTTACTTTTCTATTCTGTCACTTCTCTGAACCCACATTCCCACATTCAGAAGTGCTTCCTGATGACAAACTCTGTCCTCCACAGAATTAGCCTTTATGTATTTTAAGTTACAACATGGAATGTTATGGGTCTAGTTAGCACACAATCAACAGTTCTTAGCCATCTTCCTGGATGGATTCCCCCCGCCAACTGACCCAGTAGCCACAAGCTCAGGGAGCCATGTGTCTTTTTATTTTTTGAACTGGAAAAAAGTGTTAAAGTTCATACACCAGTGGGCTTCAGTGAAAAGTGAATATCCCTTCTAACCTGTCCTCCAACCACCATCCCCTTCCCAAAAGCAACTATTTTTCCAATCCTACACATCCTTTCAGATACGTTCTTTGCATACGCATAGACCAGGGTTTGCACATCTCAGCTTAAGAGGCAGTGCGGTGTAACAGCCTTACGTGGCCACTGGTGGTACTTCTGCACTCAGCTTCCACCTTGATGCCCAAACACACAGGTTCGAGATAATCGCCTTGTACATCGTACTATGGAAATAAAAACACAAACATGATGTCACTTACTCAAGGTGAAGCCTGCCCGTTTGCTTTCAGCTGCCCATACCCACTTTGAGAAAGGGCATCGATGGGTACCAGGTCCAAGTTTAAAGCCCCCTTGAGTTGCTTGCCTGGGTAACAGGAGTGACCATTAATCTGGTCCTTGCCGCTGCATTGCATGCTGGGCAACTTGGGTGGCTGTCCCTGCGTGTGGGGTTTTACGCGCGAGGACCAATGGGCTTCTGTGTCAGTAGTCGGCTTGCATGGTGTGTTGTTGACTGTTTCTTCTCTCTGTGTAGCTTTGGTGTGAAGCTTATGGACTTCCAGGCTCACCGGCGGGGTGGCACCCTAAATAGAAAGCACATATCCCCTGCTTTCCAGCCGCCACTCCCACCCACAGATGGCAGCACCTTGGCTCCAGCGGGCCCAGAGCCCCCTCCCCAGAGCTCTAGGGCCGAAAGCAGCACAGGGGGTGGGACTGTCCCCTCCTCTGCGGGCATGCTGGAGCAGGGGCCCAGCCCGGGCGACAGCAGGTAAGGAGGCCAGCATCTGCTGGCAGTGGGTGCCAGACACCCCAGCCTTCTTGTAGGCGCTGGCCTGTGGGCATGGCCTCCATGCCGCAAGGATCACTAGGCACGGAGTGAACCAGCTTTGCCTTCACTCCTCCGGTTGGCAAAGGATGGGAAAAAAAGACTGCAAATTGCTTGCTTCCTTTCCTGTTTTCAAAAGAAAGCAACATGTGTTTGCATTCTTTACCATACTGCTTTGGGGCTGGGAGCCAGAAGCCGATAAGTGTCTAGCAGTCTTATAAGCCTCTCTTACCTGTTTGATGTGTACTCGTTGTTCGTGTACCATTTGCTTGTTGTCATTCAGTATGCTAACTAGTAAACATTTGAATGCAACAAGTTAGTGAAGTTATTATATTCCTGGCATTCACTCACTCATCCATTCATTCATCCGTCCATCCATTTATCCATCATTCATCCATCCATCCATCCAATCAGATTTACTGAATAACTGAGTACTGAATAATATGTGCTGTCTCTGCTATACTGAGCACCCCCCCAACCCCCTGGCTTTCAGTCCTATAGGGCAGGTGATACATGAGTACAAGGTAGAAAATATGATGATAGGTTTTCTTAAAAAGCTCTTTTGTTGCTTCACCTTTTGGTTAACCACCTGGAGTGGACTAAGAATCTATAGCAACTTTAAGGAGAAATACCTTTGAAGTCGAGACCTTTATTTGCACAAATTCAGTTCTCCACTCTGACCCAGGCAGATGACCACCAGAGGCCACTTCAGGTGGTATCTCGGGTCGTACAGAACTGGCAGCTGCTATAAAAGATGAGCCCCTCCAGTACGTGCTAACATTTTTATTGCATTTGGTCCACCTTGGCCACCTATAAAGCACTAAATGATTACATATAAAGTAAAATAAATGATAAAACAAGGACGGCCTGTTAATCGTGTACTTGTTTTCCGCCCAGAGGTGACTTTGCCTTGGGAGAACTCCCTCACCTCTTCTTTGGGTGGAGAGAGAGTGCCTCGTGCTGTGTGAAGCTAGCTGCTTAGGTGATTGGAATCTCGTTAAGTCCTCATAGCTGAACTCTGAGGACTTCGTGCATTCCTGAATACCTTTCTACCCGCATAATTTGAGGAAATTCACTTTTTTGGTTAAAAATATCTAAGGCTTCAAACTCCCTAGTGCTTCACGTGCACGTCGTAAGCTCCACGTTGGTCTTTCCGTAACTGCTACCACACATGTATTCGTTTGGGCTTAAATCTTTTTCTTGGAGAAAAAAAGTCTTAGCAAACTCTTACACATTTTCATTTACCTGTAGCATTCAATTTGTTTAATCAAGGCTAAATATATTATTTAAGATAATAATTAGTCTTCACTGCAGAAGGACAAATAGAACGTCAGTTATCAATTTGCTCTGTGTTTCTTTTGCTCTGTAGATATTTTTGTGTACATCTCACTAATGCCATTTACTCTTTGGTGACTTTGACAAATTGTAGCTATAAAGTTCAGTATAAAAAGTTCTGAGCCAGGGCTTCCCTGGTGGCGCAAGTGGTTGAGAATCTGCCTGACAATGCAGGGACACGGGTTCGGGCCCTGGTCTGGGAAGATCCCACATGCCGCGAAGCAACTAAGCCCGTGAGCCACAACTACTGAGCCTGCGTGTCTGGAGCTTGTGCTCCGCAACAAGAGAGGCCGCAACACTGAGAGGCCCGCGCACCGCGATGAAGAGTGGCCCCCACTTGCCGCAACTAGAGAAAGCCCTCGCACAGAAACGAAGACCCAACACAGCCAAAAATAAAATAAATAAATTTTTAAAAAGTTCTGAGCCAGGAATTAGGAAGCCTGAACTCTGATCCCTACCCCAGTATTAACCAACTCTGGGCCCTGAGCAATCATTTAGCCTCTCAGAGTTTCTCTTTCGTGAAGTCCAAATTATTGATAATAATTGAGTGCTTTGTAATTTAGAGCAATGTTAGTATTTTGCTATTGCATTTGCTTAGTTTTGTGCAATGTATATGGCAAAATCGCATTATTCTGAAGTCCAAAAACCCTTTCATGTGTTTAAATACTGCCCAATTTGAGTGCAAGCACGCTAGAACTTGAAATGGCCTCTATCATGATATTTAAGTGGCAAAGTAGTTGGAAGATAGTCTGATGCCATGAGTCTCATAAAATATGTGGTCCTGTGTGGCACCAAATATTAGCTTCACAGACCCAGTGTGAGCTGTTTAAACTCTCAGATCACCTCCTTGCCCGCTGCAGTGAAAACTCTAGCTGGAATTTGATATTTTACAGCATGTTTAGCTTTTATAGCTGGGAATGCCTGACATCTAACTTGGCTTCTGCTTTCCTTAGTCCTCCAAAGCCCAAGGACCCTGCAGCTGCACCTGCACCCGGGAGAAACAGCAGTCAGGCGGCCCCCGGCCAAAGCCAGGCCCAGGCCACTGCCGGCTCCCATCAGCTCTCTGTGGGCCCTACGCACAATTCCGCCGGCCCGAGCCCTCACACGGTGCGCCGAGGTAAGTCACCACCTTTACTCCGCGCCCTTGGGGAGGGATGTGCAAACCTTCCTAGGTCGGTGCAGGGGTCAGGTTGAGAAGCTTGTTCCGATGGTTCCACGTCTGTTATAAAATGGCAAGCAGAAAAACCAGTCGTTAAGGAAAAGAATCATTAAAGGGAGATGGAAAAATGGAGAACAGAAAAGCAGACATTTAAGAATATGTTCAAGCTACAAAGCTTAACAAACAGTCATTTCTCCAGAAACGCCCCCCGTTTTCCAGGAATCTGGCGCTCCAAGCCCTCGCTCTGTTTTGGACCTGCCACAGCCTGGCCTGTGTCCCAGCCGGGCTTCGTGAGTCTGGGAGCACTCGTGCCCTCTGGATTGGGATCGGGGCCTTCTAGTTCCCTATTCATATGTAATCTGAACTGCTCCCAGTTACGCCCTCGTGGTCCTCCACCCAGCAGCCAGGGAAATGGCTGTTTTTCCTTTCTTTCTTTCTTTTTTTTTTTTTTTTTTTTTTTGCGGTACGCGGACCTCTCACTGCTGTGGCCTCTCCCGTTGCGGAGCACAGGCTCCGGACGTGCAGGCTTAGCGTCCATGGCTCACGGGCCCAGCCGCTCCGCGGCATGTGGGATCTTCCCGGACCGGGGCACAAACCCGTGTCCCCTGCATCGGCAGGCGGACTCTCAACCACTGCGCCACCAGGGAAGCCCTCTTTTTTTAATTGAATGAAGGATTCTTTAAATTCTATATTGCTTTACAATTTTCAAAAGTTTCACACAAATGATTTCATATAATCCCAAAATAACTCTCCTTTTTTTTTCCCTACTCCTATCTTGCACCTTCCCCCTTCCCTCTCCCCACTGGTACATTCCCTATATCTGTGAGTCCACTTCTTTTCCGTTTTATTCACTAGTTTGTTGTATTTTTTAGATTCCACACATAAATGACATCACATAGGGTTTGTCTTTCTGTCTGACTTATTTCACTCAGCATAATGCCCTCCAGCAGGGGGTGGCTTTAAAACACAAAGCAGAGCGTGTCATCCTGGCTGAAGCTCTCCAGTGCCTTCCATGCAGACCTCCCACCACGCACCCTGCGTGGCCTGGCCACGTGGTCTGGCCGGGCCGCCTGTGAGCCCAGCTCTTCCCCTGCCCCCTCACTCACTTCAGCCTCGCTGGTCTGCACTCTGCCCCTCAGTGCACTAACCTTATTCCCTCTTTAGAGCTTCCACACGTGTTCTCTTACAGAACGTTCTGTCCCACGTCTTCACATGGTTCCTTCTTTTTTATTTTATCGGGGTAAGAACACAACATGAGATCTACCCTCTTAAATATTTGTGTACAGTATCCAGTACTGTACTCTTAAGTGTACAATACCGTATTGTGCTATAGGCCCAATGATGTAAAGCTACCTGACATAATTGAAACCTTATGCCTATTGAATACCAGCTCTCCATCACTCCCCATCTCTACTGTATACCCCCAGCCCCTGGCAGCTCCCATTCCACTCTCTGATTCTAAGAATGTGACTATCTTAGATGCTTCATGTAAGTGGAATCGTGCAGTATTTGTCCTTCTGTGACTGGCTTATTTCACTTAGTATAATGTCTTTAAGGTTTGTCCATGTTGTTATATATATGACAGAATTTCCTTCCTTTTTAAGGCTAAATAATATTCCATTTTATATATACACCACATTTTTTTAATCCAGTCATCTGTCAATGGGCATATAGGTTGTTTCCATGTCTTGGCTATTGTGAATAATGATGCTTCAGTGACCATGGATGTGCAAATAATCTCTTCAGGATCCTGGTTTCAGTTCTTTTGGATAAATACCCAGAAATGGGATTCCTGAATCAATATGGTAGTTCTATTTTTAATTTTTTTTAGGAGCCTCCATACTGTTTTCCATAAGGGCTGTACCAATTTACATTCCCACGAATAGCGTGTGGGAGTTCCAGTTTCTCCGTATTCTCACCAGCACTTGCTGTCTTTTTTTTTATATTAGCCATTCTAGCAGATGTGAGGTAACATGTCGTTTTGGGGTTTGATTTGCGTTTTGCTGGTGGTTAGTGATGTTGAGCACCTTTTTATATGCCTGATGGCCATTTTTATGTCATCTTTAGAGAAATGTCTTTTCAAGTCTTTAGTCCATTTTATTTTATTTATTTATTTATTTTTGGCTGTATTGGGTCTTCGTTGCTGCACGCGGGCTTTCTCTAGTCGTGGTGAGCAGGGGCCACTCTTTGTTGTGGTGTGAGGCCTTCTCACTGCGGTGGCTTCTCTTGTTGTGGAGCACAGGCTCTAGGCACGCAGGCTTCAGTAGTTGTGGCACGTGTGCTCAGTAGTTGTGGCTCACGGGCTCTAGGGCACAGGCTCAGTAGTTGTGGTGCACGCACTTAGCTGTTACGTGGCATGTGGCATCTTCCTGGACCAGGGCTCGAACCCGTGTCCCCTGCATTGGCAGGTGGATTCTTAACCAGTGCACCACCAGGGAAGTCCCTTTAGGCCATTTTAAAATCAGGTTGTTCGTGAGACTTCCCTGGTGGTCCAGTGGCTAAAGACTCTGTGCTCCCAAAGCAGGGGGCCTGGGTTCAATCCCTGGTCAGGGAACTAGATCCCACATGCCACAACTAAGACTTTGCATGTCTCAACTAAAGATCCCGCATGCCACAACGAAGATCTCGTGTGCAGCAATGAAGATCCCTGTGTGCCGCAACTAAGATCCAGTGCGGCCAAATAAATAGATAATTTTTTTAATTTCTCTTTTTTTTTAAATCAGGTCATTCATTTCTTTGCTGTTGAGCTATAGGAGTTCTTTATATATTTTGGAAATTAACACCTTGTCAGATACATGGTTTGAAAATATTTTCTCCCATTCTGTAGGTTGCCTTTCATTCTGTCGTTTCCTTTGTTGATTGTACCAAAGCTTATTAGTTTGATGTAATCCCACACATCTATTTTGTTTTGTTGCCTGTGCTTTTGGGGTCATACCCATGAAATCACTGCCAACACAAATGTTGTGAAGCTTCCCCCTGTGTTTTCTTCAAGGAGTTTTAGAGTTTCAGGTCCTATGTTTAATCCATTTTGAGTTGACTTTTGTGTATTGTGTAAGGTAAGGGTCCAGTTTCATTCTTTTGCATGTGGATATCCAGTTTTCCCAGCATCATTTGTTGAAGAAACTATCCTTTCCCCATTGTGTATTCTTGGTACCCTGTCGAAGATCAATTGACTGTATAGGCATGGATTTATTTCTGTTCACTCTATTCTGCTCCACACATGGTTCCTCCATCATTCAGGTCTCAGCTCAAAGAGTACTTCCCTGGTGAGCCCTCCTTGACCACCCAGTCTGAACTGATGACCACCTGCCAACGCCACCACTCACACAAATTATTCTCTGTCACATCACTCTATTTCTCTCAGAGCCTTTTCCTCCATCTGAAATTTTTAAATTTGTTTTTTAGCGTATTGCCAGTCTCCCCTAGTAGCTCTTAAAGAGCTGGGATTTTACCTGTCTCATGCACTGCAGTATTCCTAGCCCTTGTCCTGTGCCTGTCACAGAGAGGGCACTCAAATATGTGTGGTCTGAGAGCTCCAAGTGCCTCTTAGATCTAGAACAACTTGGGATGATTTAGCCGTCCCCCACCATCTGGGACATTTGGCAAAATCTGGAGACATTTTTGGTTGTCACAGGCAGGGAGGGGAGTGGTATTGGCATCTAGTGGGTAGAGGCCCGGGATGCTGGTAAACATCCTACAATGTGCAGGACAGCCCCCAGCAACAAAGAACTATCTAGCCCAACATGTCAGTACTGCTGAGGTTGAGAAACTCTGGTCTAGAAAGGGACATGATTTACTGAAAATGCTTCTAAAGCCAGTTAAATTCCATGTGAACCATGGTGCCCTGTCTTAACTCCCAACTGTATTTATTGGAGGATGGATAATCTTCAATATGAAATGACATACATATTTTAAAATTTTTTGAATTTTATGTAATTTTAGACTTAAAGGAAAGTTGCGAAGATAGTATAGAGAATGCCCATATAGTCTTCACTGAGCTTCTCTTAATTTTACTATCTAACAGAACAGCTACTGAAATCAGGAAATTAACACTGATACAATATTATTAGCTAAACTTCAGGCTTTGACCAGATTTCTGAGTTTTTCCAGTAAAGTTTTCTTTCTGTCCCAGTATCAATCCAGAATCCCATGTTGCATTTTCTTTTAAGATGTACAATACAATGTGATGACTTAATATATGTATACATTGTGAAACAATTACCACAGTCAAGTTAGGGGGTTAATATCCAACATATATAAGAAACTCATACAATTCAATAGCAAAAACACAGATAACCCAATTGAAAAATGGGCAAAGGATAGATTTCTGAGTCCACATCACTTTAATATCTCCTCTGTAACCAGGACTGGGGAAATAGAATAAATAACAGTTTTGCTATTGAAACATCTTAAGAAGGCTTTCCTCTGAGCCACCACCACCTTCATCTGTATCCCAACTGGTGCTCAAGGGAAATTAGGTCTTTTCTACCTGGATTCCAGGTAGAGCCCCTGCTTTCAGGTTGAGGTTCCTTCGCAGCCCCATTCGGAGTGTTTCCTGCTTCCTTTTTCCTGCAATCATAGATCTCAGTTTGATCCTTTGTGTGCCATCCCCCACCCTGGCTCAGCCTCCCAGCACCTTCATGGTGGCCTTAGACAAGGCCTGCCTTGCTCCCAGCCTGGCCACCACGATGGACGTGGCCAATGTGGGACTTGAGCCTTATCACGCTACTCTCATGCTTCCTCTTCTAATTCCCTCTGCTCCCTTAAATGTCAAGAATGATCTTTTATCCAATATGAATTTATAATTAATATTGCTTAGAACAGAGAGCTAGAAACTTTTCTTTTCAAGTTGTTTATGATAACCAGAGTGCGGCTAATATTCCAGATTCCTTTGTCAGCTGGTTGGTTGTTTCTGTGGGAAAAGGTCTTCCCAGTTCTGGGATCAGAAGTTCTAGGCCAATAGAGTAGACTTTATACTCCTTTCATTCCTGAACCCTGGCCCCTATGAGCAGGAAGCCAGGCAGTACAGGAAGGAGGAAGAGGGAAAAAAGAGTCCAAGGAGTCCACAGGACATGGTGTGAGCCTCTGTTCTGCTCCGTACTGGCTGTGTGACCTTTTACAAACACTTGACCTCTCTGAGCCTTGGTTTTCTGCACCGTGAAATGGATATAACAATGCCTGTTTTGCGGTGTGCTTGTGAGACTTAAATGAGACAGTCTATGTAAAGGGCCCACCTTGGTGCTGGTCATGTGTTAGGTGAGTGATACATATTCATTTCTTCCCTTCGTTTCCCTCTCCCTTCCTTAGGCGATTAGTAAGATCTCAGCAGAACTTGAAATATGCTAAAGTCTCTCCTTTCCACCCAACCTCTCAGCCCAAAACCAGTCTCCAGACTTGTTTTTTCTACCTACCTCACCATCCTCAGTACCAAATTCCCACCCGCCAGTGGTGCTGATCTCAGCTGGTGTAAGGGGGAGACTGATGTGATTCAGCTCTCCATAGAGCTGAATCTAAGGCGATCGTCCGGATCTGTACTTTTATCTAGAATATATCTATTAGCACAAGTGATTCTGGAATTCATAGAATTTCTGTTATAAAAAAAAATCAAGTCCTCTAGGAGAAGATGGCTTAGAGCAAGGGGACCATGGTCTGTACAGGCAGACCAGTCGTGCTTAGGGATCCCCCCCGCCACCACCGCTCAGCTGCTCTTGCTTCTCTGTGTCTCTTCTCATGAGAGAAGGTCGCTGTCAAGTAGGCTTTGAGCGGAGACTCCATGTAGGCGGGGTGATCTCCATTAACTGAGTTTTCTAATTATTCAACTTTTAAAATGACAGGTCTGTAAAGACCTATATGTGTATAATGTACTTTTAAAAAATAACCTTTTTATTTTGGAGTAATTTTAGATTTACGGGAAAGTTGCAAAGATAGTCTGGAGTTCTCGTATACCCCTGACCCACTTTCCTCTGTTAACATCTTACATCACCACAGTACATTTATCACGGCTAAGAAACCAACGTTGGTACGTTAGTACTAACCAAACTCATTTTGTTCAAACGTCACCGGTTTTTCCTCTAACAGCCGTCTTCCAACCCGTGCTGGCTCCCACCAGAAGAGCACAGGGCATTTAGTCATCACATCTCCTTACTCTCCTCTGGCCTGTGACGGTTTCTCCATCTTCCCTTGTTTTCTCACGGCCTTGACAGTTCTAGGGAGTACTTGCATTTTAAAGACAGTCTCTCAATTTGCGTTTGTCAGAGGGTTTTTTCATGGTTAGACTAAGACTGTGGGTTTGAGGGAGGAGGGCCATGGTGGCGAGGTGCTGCCAGCTGGTGTGGTATTGGGAGTGGGCGTGGGTGCTGATCTCAGCTGGCTTACACCAGCCTCGGTGCCCTGGCCCGGGGGGCATTGGCCATCACCGTGCTGCTCTTCCTGAGAGGTGTTTTTCCTTCGTGCAGCTGTTAAAAAACCTGCTCCAGCACCCCCGAAACCTGGAAACCCACCTCCTGGCCATCCCGGGGGCCAGAGTTCTCCAGGAGCATCTCAGCATCCACCCAGCCTGTCACCAAAGCCGTCCACCCGAAGCCCTTCTCCCCCAACTCAGCCGCCCGGCCAGGCCCCAGGCCAGCCCTGCGCCACCTCACAGCTCTCCGCACCCCGGAGATACTCCAGCAGCCTGCCTCCGATCCAAGCCCCCAACCACCCGCCGCCGCAGCCCCCCACGCAGGCCACACCGCCGCCAGCGCTCACCAAGCCAGGCAGCCAGGGCCCACCGGCCCCCGGGGCCCTGCCCGGTGAGCCCGGACTCGAGCAGTCCTCCCACACCCCTCCCCAGACGCCGACGCCCCCCAGCACTCCGCCCCTAGGAAAACAGAACCCCGGCCAGGTGGTGAGTAACCCCGAGACCGCACAGCCACACGCTGGAACCTTGCCGAGACCGAGACCAGTACCAAAGCCGAGGAACCGGCCCAGCGTGCCCCCACCCCCTCATCCTCCTGGTGCCCACCCCGCCGGGGATGGCAGCCTCAGCATCGCAGCTCCCACCTCCTCCAAAATAGTCACGGGTAAGTGGGAAGTGGGTTCAGACATTTCCCCCTGTCCACTCTACCTGGCTTTTTACTGCTCCCCCTCATTTAGGCTTTCGTTTATATCAGGGGTTGGCAAACTACCACGCAGGCCAGATCTGGCCGTCAGCTTGTTTTTATAAATAAAGTTTTATTGAAACACAACTACGCCCAGTTGTTGACATATTCTTTCTGGCTTTCGTGCTAAAACAGCAGAGTTGTGTAGTCCTTTCAGAGGTCATATACTTCCAGAGCCTTCAAAGTTACTACCTCGCCCTTGAAGCTTGCCAACCCCTGATGTATAGGTTCACTATGTGTTTAAGAGCCATCTACATTTACATTTTTCTAGGTATAATGACCTAGTAATCCAGGTGGAAGGTGTTGTACAACTTGAGCGTGACATCCATTTCTTAGTGAATCCCTCATTAAAATGCTTATTTTCCTTTTAAGAGTAAAAATATTCATAGAAAGTGAAGCATTTCAGGTATAATCTTAAAAAATGTGATTTGTGCCAAATTGGATGCTCTGGGAAGGGAGATTTGGGACACGATCATATGAGAGTGCCAGCCTCTAGTGGCAAAGGACAGAAGAATCAATATTTCCTCATAATTCCATGGAAATCTGTTTTGGGTATTGATGATTATACAGATTTTATACCTAATGGGGTATTTTTTTAAAAGACAGTCTAGAACATGACCATTTTCTTTAATTATGATTCTTTTAAAAATTTCTGTCCCAAGTGCTCTAATTTACTATTTGATTTAAGGATGGGATGGATAGATTTTTTTTTTAGTGTGTTTTCTTAAAATGGTAATTAGGAACTTTGAATCATATCTTAGAACAGCCTAGTTGTAAATTTTCCTAAGTGGAGCCAGTTTTAGAGAAGTAGCCGAAATATACCTCTGGGCCCTCCAAGCGTCCTGAATGACAATCTCTGCTGAAAATGAGCAAAGGATACACCCCACACTGGTACCCTAAGTGATGAGGGTTAACCGACTAGTCTTTCTTTGGATAACTTTTTTTTTTTCAGGAATATAATGCATGATTTGAGTGTGTTATAAATTGTTAACTTTTTTCTGATGATGCTTGCTTTTATGTTTAAAAAAAACAAAGCCACATTGGTTTGTTTGTTTCCCAATAGATGCCCTTCCTAGCGCCCTCACAGGTGGGGAAGGTTTCCAGGACTAAGGTCTGTAACCCCCCCAAGCAGCTTCCTGCAGCTCCAAATGCTCCTGCTTAGCGGTGTTTTGCATACATGCTTTTGACTTTGTGCTCAGGAGCAGCCATCTGACCCCCTGCCATCCATTCTCTAGACATCACTTTTGTTTTTATCAGAAGCACTTTGAGCTGCAAATGCTTCGAATTCAAGAGGTAGATGTCAGTAGATTGCAAGCCCGATTTCAAGCCGCTCAGATAAGATACTAAGAAATGCCTCCTTTCTTTTTGGTAAGCCTTTCACAAGCATTCTGCTCTTTTCAGCGTGATTTCCCTCTCATTGATTGGCTCATCAGCATCACCCAAAGAGGTCTCTGGTGCAGTTAACACGGAAAATTGCGTCCCTTGTGTCTTGAGCTTTAAGTTTTAATTTTACCTCTTAAGTGCAAGTTAACTGCATGGAGCTTCTTAATTTGGTGTTTGAATTTCTCAGGACCCCCCCCCCTCAAAAAAAATCTTCCTCCAAAGATCCCACACTAAATTTCTTTGCATTCTGGCATGCTTACATTTTTGCTTTCTTAAACCATATGAGCTTTTTGAAAGGTACTGTGAGGCTCATCTGAATCTTGCCTTTAGGTCCACACTTAGACGGAATAAGGCTCTCGTTACTGCTCTAATCAGCTGATCTGAGCCTTAAGCCTTCAGTGGACTACTTAGCCGGCATTTCCACATCTTTGGTCTAGGAAGACTTTCTATAGATACCAGAAGGGGAAAACAAGAATGCGATCTTTACAACACAGAGGAGGGCACAGAGGCGTGATTCCGCCTTCCTGACTCCTAGGTGATGAACCCAAAAGTCTGTGGTTGCCCAGTTGGGTGTGAAAATCACAGAGTGAAGTGACTAAACCCTAATTAAGGCTGAGCCTTTTAACACTTCAATACTTGTGACACATCAGAATTTTATTCCCAGATCTTCCCTTTTATTTAGATGAAAGACTGCAGACCAGAATTATGTCTACTCTTTAATACCATGTTTACCTGGGGTGTATTTATTTCAGAAGCTTATTTTATTGATCTGCTATAACACTGCAGTGCTCTGTACTTTGACAATTGTCAGATAAGTGAAATTTGATATTATAAATACTTTTCCTTAGGATATTAGCTAAATATTTTAAAACCAATCTGCACTTTGAATTCTCCTAACTCAAGAAATTACAGGTCACCACCATTATCTTTGTATTACAGAATTAATTTTTAATTTCTTAAAATCCCCCGGATTGCCGTTAGGAGTACACAAAAGGCCAGCGTTTAGAATTTATGAATATGCTCGTGTTGTTCATGCTGCTCTTAGGCAATCTTGGATATAGCCATTGGGTATTTCAAGAAGAAAAAAATGTAACTTCCCTAGGTAGTCCTTTATTGTGACATCATGTTTTCACTTGGAAAGCTCTAGACAGACAAATTCCTGAGAACAGGTTATTCATTCACAGCATTTAATCTTAAACATTGAATTAAGGCCTGGGGATTGAGAGAGACTCTTGGGGGCGATTACTGTTGCTAAACAGGTCGGACAGCCAGTTTGTGGCAGCTCAGCACCAGCACCAGAGAAGGGAGGGATTCTGCTGTCGTTCTGAATCTCTTCCTAATTTGTTACTCTAGAAAGCAGTAGGAAAAAGAAAGGAAGAAAGAAAGAAAAAGAAAGCAGTAGGAGTTTAGCTTTGCAAGGAAAAGAGTTTGCATCTTGCTGTTTTTAAAGTAATAGATTTTAGCCAAGAGTGTTCTAATGTAACATTTTATTAAATAATTTAGATGTATGACCTGCCATATTCAGTAGGAACTGAAATTGGAATATTTAATGGTAAGGAAAAGGCACCTGATTGGCCAAAGCATTTTTGCTACTTGATGATCATATTTGTGCACTAATGCCTGCTATTAACCGGTCACTCTAACCCTGCCTGCTTGCACCCCTACTAATAGTGCATGTGCTAAAGGAGGCTGGCTTTGTTCATGCTTGCTGCCAAGTACTCTGCATACTAAGCGTGTTCACAGACATGCAACACGTCATCGCCAGGCTGGCCTTGTTACCTCTTTAACTTCCAGTCTTTTCTGTACTGGGCAGGCTTGAGGGGTAGTGGAAAGAGCACACACTAGAATCAGACAAGCCTGAATTAAAATTTCAGCTCACTGTGTGTAACAATGGCACGGCACAACCTGGCTGATCTGTAAAATGGTGACATTTGTGAGAATAACCTTCAAAGGGATCACAGTAGATAAAATAAGAAAAGCATCATGCGGTTCTTAATATGCAGGGGATCTAAGTAAATGGTAGCTATTTATTATCATTTTTATGGAGGAAAAAAGAAGATAATACAGAGTTAGGTATTAGATTCGTATGTCACCATTTTAAAAACTCATGCCGGGACACAGATGCAGGAGGTCTGGAGCCAGGCATCCATATTTTGATCCTGATGTGCCCCTTGGTGGTGGGTTAAAAAGACAGTGTTCTGGAGTAGAAAATGTTCTTAATTTAGTGAGGCTGAGATTAATTCAGTGAGTCATTTGTCCACTGTATGGTGGTAGAACGAGTCACAATAGTGGTCATCAGACACTTGGGACTTTGTTGGTTCTCATAGCCTTTGCTTTTTAAAATTAAACTCCTTTTATATCATGAAAGTAATGCTTTTTTTTTTTTTTTTTTTTTTTTTTTTTTTTGGCGGTACGCGGGCCTCTCACTGTTGCGGCCTCTCCCGTTGCGGAGCACAGGCTCCGGACGCGCAGGCTCAGCGGCCATGGCTCACAGGCCCAGCCACTCCGTGGCATGTGGGATCTTCCCGGACCGGGGCACGAACCCATGTCCCCTGCATCGGCAGGCGGACTCTCAACCACTTCGCCACCAGGGAAGCCCAGTAATGCATTTTTAAAAATAAGTATGATACTAAAACAAATTGGGGAATTAGAAACAATAAGAAATCACCCTTCCATAATTGAAAAAGTCCACCATTCATATTTTATTTTTTCCTTCTAGTTTTTTTTTTTCTAAAAGGCAAGGGGATGCACAATCATAATTATTTGGCATATACAGATTTTGATTTTGCGGTTTTATTTTACTTTACATCACATGCTCTTTCCCATGTTACAATGTAGTTTTTCAGTGACTGCATAATATTTCATTAAGCAGATGTATTATTGCTCGTAGTTGGACATTTAAGTGGCTTCTGCTTCTACTTGCACTTTATTTTTAATAAGTAGATGTCAGAATCATGTCAAGATAAACATCCAGTGAGACTGGAACAGAATCTCTCCTTTGACTGAAATAATAAAAAGTTGACTCAGTCTCCCAGAGATGAGTCAGCCTCTCACAGCCCTAGAAACCTGATGAGGACTGCAAGGAAGTCATTCCCTCAGACTGTAGTTTAGAGAAGGATTTAATGATCCGGAGGGGGCTGATTCACCCTGCAGCCGTGCCTGAAATGTTTGATTTCAGCGAGGCATTTGGATCTCTTACCTGTCCAAGTGGCTGTCAGAATAACCTTGGCCTTTCCAGAGGGGAGGTTTACAACCTAAAAGCACATATTCAAAATTGCTGAAGTGACAGACTTTCTAGGACCATACTCTAAATTGTAGAATGCCAGTTCCCACCCTCACAGGGTCCACTCCTGGATAAAGATACTCAAAAAAGGAGGGAACCAGGCTGCATTCGTCAGAGCCGCAGAGCAGTGGTGAACCACATGGCATTCTGCCTGTGAGCGGAGGCTGTGACCTGGGCCTCTGCTTTCTTGTTTTTATTTTTGGTTTTTTTTTTCCTCTTTTAATCTAATATCTTTCATATGAACTTAGCTCCAAGCAATATGCTCAAAGACCAGCCCTTCTTGGAATGCATATAATGAAAATGATGCCTTGTGTAAATCTATAGCCAGCAGGGTTTAGAGGTGTTTAAAAAAATATGGAAGTGCTCCTGCAGGCACTTTCTAAAATAACCTTTATCTCCTTTGTACTAAGATGAAGCAGAGTGTTTAAGACTCAAGCCGTCATCTGCTTAGGCACTGTCTTCTCTCCCAGGCCGCTCACCCAAGGGCATACGTCCTCCTGGGGGTGGGGTGGCGGGGGAGACGCCCTCTGCAGATTAAGAACCAGGCTCCAGAGCCCAACCAGTCTGGCTCTGCTCCTCCTCCAGTGCCGGCTGTGTTGGAGAGTTGAGCCTCCCAGAGGCTCCCCTGCTTGTTGGTTTTACAAATATAAGACCTGAATTGTCTGAAATGCCATCCAGCACCTGAACTCTTTGCCACCTTGGCACCTCCATAAATCTAGACGTTTCTCTGGGTTGTGGTGTGTAGGAAACCTCGACAGATGGGCCTTCCAACCCAGGAGTCACTGAGAGTAAAGGGACGTCTCAGGAAGTAAGTGGATCTCGCAGCTCAGAGCTGTGGGCACGTGTCGGATCAGGAACCAGTCTCAAAGCAGTGAGCCTCCCAGGGTGCACCTGCATTTGCCGGCTCTGTCTGTGTGGGTGAGGAGAAGGTGAAACAGAAGTACTGCCGAAAGCAGCTCCCAGCAAGGGCAGACACGGTGTACCTGCACCACAGCAAGTGCAGAAAAGCAGCTCTTAGGCATAACAGGGAGACCCCAGCACACCCACCTCCCACCCTCCCTCCCTCCGTGCTCCCTACATGACTAGCCCTAACCTGGCACAGTGAAACTACCACAAATCTGAACGTCTCCCTTCTCTCTTCCACCAGCCCTAAAATCCCTAACAAGGCTCATCATTTGCTAGAACTCACATCTACCAGAGAAACAAATTCTTCAAGACAGAAGGGCCTGTCTCCCCCACTTGGCTGTAGGCTTCATTAAATCTGTGTCTGGCTTGTTCACTGTTGTGTCCTCACCGGTAGAATGTGGGAGGTGCTCAGTAAGTATTTGTTTATCAATGAGGGAATCTGAGGCTCACCGTCTCACTAGGAAGAGGGCTGTGATTGGTTAAGGTGTCTTGTGAGCATGGGAGCGAGGGATGATGGCTTGAGGACCGTGTATTTACTGTCTTGCCGAAGGAGTTCCAGCCAACATAATAAGACGTGAAAAAGGAATTGGAGTTATATAAGTATTGGGTTGACCAAAAAGTTCGTTTGGGTTTTTCCATGTTACAGAACCCGAACGAACTTTTTGGCCAGCCCGATATTAGAAATAGATGAGAAAATTAATATTTGTAGGAGATTTGGTGCTACACTTCAGTGCTTGTTCCCCCCTCCCACCCCAGGGACATTTGGCAGTGTCTGGAGACATCTTTTGTTGTCACACTGTGGGAAAGAGAGCTTGTGCCATCGGCATCTAGTGGGTTGAGGGCAGGGATGCTGCCAAACATCCCACAGTGCACAAGACAGCCCCACAGCCCAGAGGGATCCGGCCCCAAGTGTCACTAGTGCCGAGGTTGAGGGCATAGCATTAATAACAGGAGGACACTCACCAACCTCGGAGGAGGGAACTTTTCCCAGTGACGCTCAGCTATTCCTGCAGCCCAGATGTTGTCAGGAGGTTTCAGTTAATGCGTTAGAGACATTGGTAGGAATAAGGTTTCCTCTCCTCAGTCACAGCAAGCAAATCCTTCCAGGGTTGCATCTCTGAGGACTGCCGTGCGCTCACAGAAAGGACCACCAGAGCCAGGAGGTGGGGCTGTGCCACGTGGCTGGCTGCCCCTGGGGTATCAAAGGCTTGACTCAACTTCTCAGGGCTGATGGTGCCTCTAGTAAGGGAGTGTGCGTGCATGGGCTGACTCTCAAACTTTCCAGCTTCTCCTCTCCTCGGGTGGCCTCTGGGGTGTTACCACGCATTGATACCATGTCTCCTCGTGTTTTTGTCCAGACGCCAATTCTAGGGTTTCAGAACCGCTTCGCAGCATCTTTCCTGAAACGCATTCAGACTCAGCCAGCAAAGACCTGCCCGGCCGCATTCTGTTGGACATGGACAATGATACAGAAAGTACCGCCCTGTGAAGAAAGCCACCCCCTGCCCTTGACCCCTTCCACCCTGGCGAGTGGAGCAGGGGCAGGCAGACGTTCATCTTTGCAGACCAAACAGCGAGAAGCTTTCAGTGGAGGGGGAAAGAAGGCCTCATCATGCAGGACATGGCCTTCTCACAGCCTGAGGAGAGAGCCGAGGCTGACACTTAAAGCTGAATGACCTGTGTCTTGAAGAAGTTGGCTTTCTTTACATGGGAAAGAATCATGCCAAAAAAAAAAAAATTTTTTTTAAAGAAAGAAAATAGAAATACCTACAGTGGAAAGAGTATCATTGCCGAGGCATGTGTAGGAAGCATTTGTCACCGCTATTAACGCAGGCAGCGCCATCAGCAATTTGGAATGAATAAAAAGCAACGCGTTAACTATCTATTTAATAAAGTACATCCATTACGCAAGTCACCTGCTTCCTGCTACTTGGGCTTTCGTTCTTATATATCACAAGGGAGGTTCCTCTTCTTCGGACGTGCTGCAGAATCATTTTGTATGAAGTATGGTCTGTGTCTACCCAACTGCCTCAGAACCACAAGCATTGGTGGTGACTGCTGGATCCGTCACCTCAGCAAACTGGATTGCCTTGGCCTCGTTGGATTGCCAGAACGTAGACGGAAATGTACTGTTCTCTTTTTTTTTAAACAATGTAATTGCTACTTGATAAGGAGCGAACATTATTCTAGTTTCATGTTTAATTTGAATTAAATATATCCTGTGGTTTATATGAAAACTTCATCATTCTTAGAGGCAAAGCTGTGGATTGTGTGTGCGCATGTTGTCACTTAACTACATAGAATTGGGGATGGGACGTCTGGGGGTCTAGCTGTGAATGTAGAAGTTTGAAAGAGTGGCGAGCAAGGTCACAGCAGTGAGACCAGCCACCAGGTGACCCAGAGACTGCCCAGACTGGCTGTCTCTTAGCGAATGTTCCATGGGCTGGGCTCTTCCTTTGCTCTCACCAGTCCTGACACCCTTTCTGGTCCGCAGACACTTGTCTTGTCTAGAGACACTTAGACCCTTGGAGGCCAGCTCGCAGTACTCAGCCCCACAGGCCTAGGGCAGGAGGCAGAGCCATTACGTTCCAGGGGAACATCCTTTTCCAGTGACTGGAAGGCACTTCCGTCCCAGGATTGAAATACTTGGGAAGAGTGGGTGGGGAATTGGAGCAAAGCAAGGCCGACGGGCTGGATGGCTGTTGTGACGATAGCCCTCCCCGTGGCCCAGATTTGGCGTCATCTTTTGGAACACATGCTGCCATGTTGGCTGCCCTGGGCGGCTCCACTGATAGAACTGCTCGCCAGGTGCATCCGTGACCCAGCCCTTGCTCAGAAGCCCCTGGACCTCCTTCCCCTATGAATTGACTTAAGTTTAACTTGAAAAGGGCAATCGCTTTTTCCTCTTAACTCACAGTTTCCTGTGCCCCAAAGTGCTCCCTGCACTTATTAATTACATTGAAAATATGTACCTGTAGACCCATTTTCCCCGGTATCTTAAATTTGTGTTTGCCGAAGGCTCACTCTTTCCTTCCTCATACGCCATCCCTGCTCTTTTTATATATATATATATAAATTTATTTATTTATTTATTTTTGGCTGTGTTGGGTCTTCGTTGCAGCATGTGGGCTTTCTCTAGTTGCGGGGAGCGGGGGCTACTCTTCGTTGCAGTGCGCGGGCTTCTCATTGTGGTGGTTTCTCTTGTTGCGGAGCATGGGCTCTAGGTGTACGGGCTTCAGTAGTTGTGGTGCGTGGGCTCAGTAGTTGTGGCTCTCGGGCCCTAGAGCACAGGCTCAGTAGTTGTGGAGCACGGGCTTAGTTGCTCCGCGGCATGTGGGATCTTCCCGGACCAGGGCTCAAACCCATGTCCCCTGCATTGGCAGGTGGATTCTTAACCACTGCACCACCAGGGAAGTCCCCATCCCTGTTCTTTTTCTCTGCTCCCCCTCCCCACTGCCCTTAGCTTTAGAACAAACCTTATAGAGAAAGCAAAGGTCTCGATGTATGTTGCTCATAAGCGTTGACCCCTTCTTCAAGGAGCCCAGCTGTCCACAGTCAGGCATCTCTGCAGACCTTGGAGTTGCTATCTCCAGGATGCCTGAGCTCATACTCAGGAGGGAGCTGGGACGCAGTGCTTGCCGAGGAGACGGCATTGGTGCCTGGGGACATGGAAGGGCCGTGATGAACAAAATGATTCTGAAATACGGCAAACCCCTACCCTCATTATTTTAAGAACAGTGTTCCATTTTCACTCTCCTATTGTTTGTAGCAATCTCCCTGCCTCAACAGCTCCGATCTAAAGAAAAAGGAAACCTCCTTGCCCCTGTACACGTGTCAGTGGCTGCTCTCCATCTTCTTGGATGGGCGAGTCATAGTGTGGGACGTGGCGGCTCAGTTGTAATTGCACCATGGCGGAAGCACCTCCAAGGTGCTGCAGAGATGTGATCAGCCCTGCCAGGGGAGGCGCCACGTCGCTGTCACCTCGCCCTGGCACTACACGCGGGAGAGAGGTAGACAGCTCTGTAATCTAATTCTTTAAATTTACTTATGTATTTATTTTTGCCTCGCAGCTTGCAGGATCTTAGTTCCCCGACCAGGGTTAGAACCCGCCCTCCCCCCACCAGTGAAAGTGGAGTCCTAACCCCTGGACCACCAGGGATTTCCCGAGAAGTCTGTAATCCAAACTCATGTGGCCATCCCTGACCATCCAGGAAGGTGCTGGCCTCCAGGAAGATGCTGCTGGTATCTGCCCCTTCAGATTGCTTCCTTCTCTTCTCCAGAGAACAGTTTCTCCTAGAAACTTCAGTCCTGTGTACTCAGGCCTTCTGTTCCTGCTCTCCAACCCACAGCTACACCAGGGTCGGGGACATGTGCCTCTCACCACACACCCCTTGCAAGCAACACCCACCTAGCCTGATCTTGATCCAGCATTTCGGAGACTGCAGGGGGTCGGGGCATCCCCCTGGCTGCCGTGATTGTGCTGGATTACCTGTGGATTCCCAAGCCTTCAGATGCAATTGGAATGACTGAATCCCTGCACCTCCTTGATGGCCTTGGTTCCCTTGGGGACCCTTGTACCACTCTTGGGGCTCCAGCTCCCAGTGCTGTCCTGAGCCCAGTGAGTCCCGTAAGTGCTCTTACTTGAAAGTCTTAAGACAAACCCTCTTTCTAGGTTCTCTACCTGTGGTCTGTTGCCACCATTCTGCCACCTGTGCCGTGAGCCTGGTGGTGTGTAACCATATTCCGGAGCCTTCGCCCTCTTCTCACAGATGCCACTCTACCATCTCTTTACTCCAGGGTCTCAAGTGGGCTCTGTGCCTCATAGTCTAGAGGTCTTGCGCCAGACTGGGCAGCACCCCATTGACAGATATTTCTAGACCAATGGCTTCCACTTTTCTAATATCGTAGTGATGGAGCTGAGGATAAAGACAGATCTGCTGGCATAGTGAAGCCACTGGCTCCAATGCAACCAAAAGGCAAAAAGTGGTCATGGAAATTCCCTGGTGGCCCAGTGGTTAGGACTCGGTGCTCTCACTGCCAGGACCCGGGTTCAATCCCTGGTCGGGGAACTAAGATTCCACAAGCCATGTGTTGCAGCCAAAAAAAAACCCACACAAACACAAACACATTTATTATCTCATAGTTTCTGTGGGTCAGGAGTCCAGGCACAGCTTAGCTGGGTCCTGTCCTTGGGTCTCACAAGGCTGCAGTCAAGGGTCAGCCAGGGCTGGGGTCCCGTCTGGAGGTCCAACTGGGGAAGGACCCACTCCTAAGCTCCCTCAGGATGTTGTCAGAAGTCATGTGCTTATGCTTGTAGGGCCACGAGTTCTGAGGCCCAGGACTTCTTGCCATCATTGAGGGGTTGCCCTCGGCTCCTAGAGGCTGCCTGCAGTCCCTGGTCACGTGGGCTTCCCTGGGGAGGCTGCTACTTCGGCAAGCCAGCAAGGACAGCCCCTAGAGTGAGTTTGCTAGCAAGACAGAGTCTGCATGCTGTAATACAATTACAGATGACATCTCATCACCTCTGCCGTATTGTATTGGTTAGAAGTCAGTTGCAGGTTCTGTCCACACTCGAGGGGAGGGGACTATACAAGGGCATGAACGGCAGGAGGTGGGGGTCGCTGAGGGTCACCTTGGGGTCTGTCTGCCACACACATCAAAATGTCATTACAAATGACACGTCAGGGTATACTTGAACCAAATATATTTTTGGAAGAACCAAAACAATTCACCAGGGTTCTGTTTCTACCCTCTATATTTGTATTTGAATTCAGTTTTCATACACATCAATAAATGCTATTTGATGACCAAAATTTTTTTCACATCATTTCATGGTAGAAACAGCATTCTTGCTTTCATACAAGGATGCTTAGAATTGAAGCCACGGCTTCTAAATAATTCTGTGTCTCCTCCAGGGGGTACTGGCCTAGACCCTGGGGAGCCAACCTGAAGCATACAACTGTGGCCTCGGCCCCCAGGAAGCTTGCAAACACCCAGGAAACAGAGACTGCGGAGTGGGGGAGCCGTGGAAGTACGTGGGAGGAAGGCCCATCTTGGTGGAGAAAGGAGGGGGGAGGGGGGCCCTCCAGAAGCTAGGAATGGCTCGTGAGGTGAGCGACAGCATGGAATTAGAGGGGGAAGCGGGCAACGGGCAAGGAGTGAGGCTGGTGAGGGAAGCAGGAGCTGGAGTGTGAAGATCCTTATAACTCATGTTTGGAGTCATCAAGGGGAGCTGCAGACACAGGAGGGGAGTGACTGTCGGATTTGTACTTTAGGTCCCCGTGGCTGCGATGCAGAAAGTGGACTGAAGCGGGGGCAAGGTAGCAGCAGGACACCCCCGAGAGAGGAGCCAGTGGGGCCCCGATAAGGCAGAGGCAGCGGTCCCACGAGCACAAGGTTAGGGAGACAGAGCCAGCGTGAC